AGAAACACATCCACCTCACACAGCTCCCTCCAGCCATCTCCATCTTTGTCTTCCTAAATCCCAAGCTTCTGTTTGAACCCCTTTCCTCCCTAAGAGGTAGGTTTTCTACCTGCAGAAGAGGCCTGGGCGGCCTCGCACTCTGGGCAGGTCTGGACTCAATTTGCACCTTCCTGTCATTTAGAAGGGAGCCACATACCATACACCTTCACCCCGGCAGGCAGCGGTCCCCTCCAGCTCCCTAGGGCCACCCCACTGTCTCACCATCCACTGCCCACAGGTGCCAGGAGGCCTGCCTCAGCCTCCCGTACATGTCCAGTGCCTGTCCTGAGCCCTTGTCCAGCTCGAGTCCTCAGGTGTGGGCCCCCTGCAAGTGTACATGCCCTGACCTGAGGACACAGCCCCCAGCTCCTCCCCAGCACTGCGCTGGGCGAGGAGAGGTCTCAGGGGTAAGCCAAGGGCCCCGTGCTAGCTGTTTCCTGAGTCCACCAGAAGGTCTTTTCTTCGTTGCCACCTTTCAATTCCTTTCCTCAAATTCTGTCTGCATTCCCATCTGCAGCCTTACCAAAGCCTGAAAGAAGCATTAGCCAACGGACTTGTTCCAGAAATGAGCTCGTCCTGTGAATCTGTTGATGGAACTATCATGCTTTGGTTTATACTTTTAGACACTGGTAATTTTTAAAAAACACAGGAAAGCCTTGGTTACTAGGTTTAATTTAGTTACTACTGAGCTTAACCCCCACACTGTCCGAAGTAGTGGATTCAAGTAGAGCGCTTGGCTGACGGACCCTTGTCATATCACCAGTGTGGACAGAGGCTTCTCTGGGGGCGTGACCCAGCCTACTGGTCCGGGCCAAGGGATTCCTGTTGTATCCTCTTTCACCATGATGTAAAGCTTCCTCTGCCTCTAGAGATGGGAAGGAAGGGGTTCAGCCTTGGATGGACAAGGAGGGGGTGCAAAAGTGCTGCACTGCTCCCCCAGAAAGGTTAATTCTCAGGATAGGAGGGGAGGGGGAGGGAGGACCCAGGCCCATGTGTGGCCTGCTCTGGGGCCAGTCCTGAGCCCCCTGCATGTCTACAGGAAGCTAAGCTTTTGGGTAATGGACAAAGAGCTGACCTGCTTACCCAGACTGGTCTGGGTGATGACCTGGGTGACTGAAGACCATTGACATCAGGCCTGGTCACCTCTCTCCGCATAGCCCCGTCCATGTTCCCGGGAGCCATGTGCCTCTTCTGTTTGGATGAGTTCTTTCTTCAGATGCATTACTGGAAAGAAATCCACTTTGACAAGATGAATGTAAAGTTCTATTAGTCTAGCAGTGTAAGGCTAGGACTTGTTTTTAACTCCCGGGGACAGAGTGGAAACCTATTGTGCCTGGGCGATGGCGAGCAGTGTGACCGCAGGTGACCTATTTCCCTTTGGCACTCCATCTCCATCAGAGAGCTGTATTCCTGCCCGTCTTTGAATATTCTTGCAGGCTGCCCTGCAAATGCAGTGCTTGAAATAATTGTGAAAGTCCTGAGAGTGATGCTTTGCATTAGCGTTCTGAAGAGAATTTGGTTTTTAAAAAAGTACAAAAGGCAGTGAGCCATCTTTCTTACAAGTCAGTCCAACTTATTTTCAGCTTAAATATGGACATGGTCATTTGGGAGTAATATACCCAGGAACAGCCTTAAAATTTAACGTATGGTAGAGAAAAGTCCATCCATCTACCTACCTGGGGTCAGGACATCACCCGCGGTTTCCCCTTACTGCCATGTATGGAGTTCAGGAAATGCATTCAGACAGAGGCTAGGCTGTCCGAGAATCTTGAGAGTTTCCGCACGCATGACCTAATTCCTGACCTTCTCTTTGCCTTTCTGATCCTGTACAAGTTTCACTGTTATGTAGTCATGTGATATGATTGGACTCTTATTGGGCAACTTCTTGTCTTCATCTATTAGATATATACAAATACGCACTGTATGATACGTATTTCATTCTTCATCAAGACTTTGATTTCTACTTATTTATGCTCCTTCATAAAGTACAGAAAATTTTTGTTTAGAAAGTCTCATCTCAGGCTGGAGATTTAGCTCAGTGGCATAAGCACCTGCCTTGCAAGTGCATGGTTGTGAGTTTCGAACCCCGGTACCAAAAAAAAAAAAAACAAACAAACAAACAAAAAAAAAAACAAAGAAAGTCTCATCTCAGTTCAATGCTCATATATTTATCTTTTCTTCATCACTCAAGTTCTTTGGGCCCAGACGCCCATCATGTCTCTGTCACCCTCATGTCCCATGAAAGACCCAGCACATAGTAGACTCACAGTGGTCACTGCTAGGCAAATGAATCAGTGCCTTACAGATCCTCAGCGCTTGGCTCCGGTCCTTGCTGATGCCCAGGGCTGCCTCTGGAAAACCCACCACACCACCTGGCCCTGCGTTTGGGTAATGACGGAATCCATACTCCATAACCTCCATCCAAGCTCAGCCGTGTGTTTCTTCATGGAACTCAGTAGCTGTAAAATGCCGTCAGACATTTCACTTCTTTCTGTCTCCTTTTGATTCTTTCAAGCAAGAGCTCCATTCACTGTTCAGCTTGAAAGTTTTGCAAATACCATTTCAAACTATTAACACTCAAGGAAATATTTAACTTGTAAGTGAAAAATATATATTTAAACAACATTCCACTCACTTGTGCTGATCAAAATGGTCACAAAAAGAATTAAAACTAGGCTATCTAAACCAAAGAAGCTGTGAAAATTTAATGCAGAACTGATGCCTATGAAAATAAATACAACTGAGAACCCTTTAAAGCAACTTAGAAACATACAGTTAGTGTCCTAAGAAACTTTCCAATGACTGCAATATCCATGGAATTTATAATTAAAGAACTCAACAGAAAATTTGGGCAGAGGTATTTATTTTAACAGCCCAGACTGGGAACATCCAGTGTAATGACACGGGACTAATTAAATGATTGCACCTTGTTTTGAGAGAGAGAAATCAAACTATTCACAAGACAGTGGCAAATGTCATGTAAAAACAAACGGTATAAAGATAAAAAATCAGAATGTGAAACTATGTAATATGTTACAATTGCTTGGAAATATATAAAAATAAAAGATGTGAGGATACACAGCAAAATGGAAACAATTCCAGAGTGGTGAGATTATGGGCACATTTTTAAAATTTCATGGTAAAGATTATTTTAGCAATATATAAAGTCAAGGAGGAAAAGGATCAGGCTTTAGTCCCTCAATGTTCAGGTATTAAGAAGAATGTTGGGCAGATACCTAAGCGGCATTTCTCTGCTTGCTTCTACTCTCAGCATGAATTTATCCAGTTCCAGGGCCTTAGCCTTTAAAAAAAAACAACTCTGGCAACCACAGTTACTCTTTGAAAGTCCAAACGAAGTTTGTATTGTTGGTCGGCAGCATCCCGTCTTTGCATTATACCATGAGTTACAATATCAGGGCCTCCCATTGTGGATGCTCTGAAGAAAGCAGGCTCACTGGCTCTTGTTCTGCTAGCAGAGTAAATGACACCTCCATTCAGGGCATATTCTGTTTCCCAGTTCACACGTTCATTAGGTACAAATGCCATATCAACATTTTCCTGTAATGGCCATCATAATTCTAGGTCAAGAATTCTGTGATTCTACCAAAGAAAGTGCAAAAGTTGCAATGAAGGTGTAATTTTATACAGGAAGCAGAATCTCTTCCAGGAGGTTAGTACTTAGCAGTTGTAACAATGCACCAGAATAGCAAGATGCTTTTCACCCTTCTGGAAAGATACTGCAAGCCTCTCCCAGCTCAGTTGAGTTGGTTGATCTGTCATAGATGATCCTTATGTCAGTTATATTTAACTCGAGTTTCTATACAGACTGAAAGGTCATTTATAAATGGATCTTAAGGAGCAATTGGCCATTAGCATTGAAAATTCCTTTTTCTTCCAATTTCTAGATACATCCACTCATTAGTAGACACAGGTGACAGCACAGCCTCATCGGCCAGAGCATGAGCATTCACATTTGTAGTATTTGCATAAATCTGGACAAATTAGTTCTCTGTGCCTTAGTTTCTTCACCCGTAAAATCATTAAAGATAGTACTTTCCTGCTTCAAGCTTACAGAATTGAGTGGAGGAGCGTGAAGATGTTGGCCTTGAGGAGTGTTACTTTATTACTAATGTACATGGCTTTGAAGCTGATGACACAGGATAGAAATGACCCAGTCCTGCCCTCTGGGTGACTTAGAAAACACGTCAAAATCAGTTTTTTGTCAACCTAAAACTACTCTTAAAATATATTTTTTAAAAATCAACTGAGAAGCAGCTTTACTCCCCTCAGTGGAAAGAGGAAAGTTGTCCAGCAATTGGAAAGGCTTTAGGAATGTTTTTCAAGTGAAAATGAACTTCTAGGGGATGTAAGTTTGAACCACAAAGAGGCGTAGAGGGATAAGGGTCTCCCTTTCGTGTCTGGACTCTTTAAGGAACGTCTTTTCCCTCTTTGGAGAACAACTGCTGGTTCAGAGTCCAGAAAGACTAATAAAGATCATCTTTCTGAAAGGGATGGGGACTTATTCTGGCCTAATTGCCATTATCTTTCCCCCCAAAAGGCTGTTATTTAATATGACAATGAGAGCCATACGCCTGGAAACCTCTTTTTCAGCTGATGAGTCACTTAAAAATTCTTAACCAGAGAGTCTTGTATTTTGCAAATGCCTCTTACTCCCTCAGTGATATTAATTTGATGTGTACAACATAGCCAGCACCATGCTAGATATTACCATTGATAAGTCACTTCAGGTTTCTTGATGAATAAAAGACTGGACAGAGGAGATTAATCCTATCACAGATCTTGTTCTCTAGCATACATAAATTTGGGTCCTAAAAACTACCCTGTGTTTCCACTAAAAGTCACTTACTTGGCCTACTCGTAGGGCCCTGGTGATGATTGCTTTGTCTACACAACTTGCTAGCTTGCTGTTTTTCTTAGTGGTGTCTGTTTTTCATTTTGAGGGTGAACCTGGCTTGCCTGGAGCAGCAGGACAGGATGGGACCCCTGGACCAAAGGTTAGTGCCCTGACACTGAGCAGAGCCTCGGACAACACAGACTTCAAAAGCTGTTATGATTATTTACTATTTCACTGGTTGCACTTAGGTTGGATTTTTTGTCTACAGTGCGAAACTTCATGGCTAAGGAAGAAATACATGTTTGTGATTTTCATTAGCATTAAAAATTCAGAAGCATGGGGCTGGGGATTTAGCTCAGAGGCATAAGCAACTGCCTTGCAAGCAGGTGGTTGTGAGTTTGATCCCCAGTACCAATAAAAAAGAGAAAAATTCAGAAGCACATAAGATATGATTGTCTAAAATCTCTATCTGAGATGATTAGAGAATGTAAGAAAGCCCATGTTTGGAATGCTGTCATTTTAGCCCTGTGTGAGCAGAGGCAAACGCCGGTCACCTCCACACCGCCTGGTATGCACAGGTTCACACTGACGGCCCCAGTGCTACTGTGGTTTTTCCTTGAGACCTGGCCACCTTCAGTCTGTACACAGCACAACCACTTAATCAGATGAAGAGCAAATAAAGATGTGGTATGTTTAAAATTTAAAAATGGATGTAGTCTAAATTACTAAATGGGGAAAAAATGTAATGAGGATATTTTTCTGGATTGAACATTTTCTTTGTTTCTCAAAGAACAAATGAATCTGTTAAATATAACAGATTGGTGACAGTTTAGTTTAAACCAAACAGGCAGACAAATCCCAACTCCTTTGATGAGCACAGATCCCTTGAAGTAGAGAACTAATGTCTAATCCCATCAGCTGTGCTGGTGTGTATCTGTCTCCGCAGATGCCCGTCAGCTGATTTTACAGATCATAGTCTATTGACAGGCGCCAAGGACAGGCCTCAGAATTATAGACCTGTCCTTTGTCCTGTGGGAGGACGAAGCAAATGTTCCTTCGGGGACAACAGCCCTCTTCCTGTCTCCTTCCTTCTCTTGCTTCATACAAAAAGTCAAGTGATGGGCGTTAATGCTCACTGCATATTCTCACTGCTCGTCCTGTGTTACCTAGCAACCTGACCATCAGGACAGATGCTGAGCAGCAGAAGTAGCCGGAAATTCAGAAAGGCAAGGGTCAGGTTGAGTTCCCAAGAGAAAAGACTTTACCTCCAACCTGACTTTTTGAGTGGGTTATAAATTAAAACATGCGTGCACACACACACAAAGAACACCTTACACCATTTTTTCAAAGCAGTCTGAGCTTGTGGCAATACCAACTCAAGCTTTGCATCAAGAATGTTATAATGAATATAATGTTCTTTAGAAATTTCCTGTTCTATCATCTTTCCACGATAAAGTGAAAATTATGAAATTCTTTTTAGAAGAGTTTTCCTTTAGTCCTCGGGCTTGCCTGGTTATTATTTGGAACAGAGACATCTCCCCTAAACTCTCTAAAATCGTGGCCCCTTCCAGTGTCTTTCCTGATGGGATCTGTGCCTCCTAAAACACACTCAATCTGGAACAGGTTGGTTGTTGAGATTTAGAGGTACTGTGTAACTTTGGGAAGAGATTTGAGTTCAAAACTGGGGATTCATGATCATTTTAGAGAAAAACAGATTGAGAAATACGCTAGGACTCCAGACCCCAAAACAGTCCAGGCTCCTGGAAAGACAGTGCTTTGAATGGAAGGCTTTGAGGAAGGACACACAGGCCTACCTTACTGATCCTGAGTTTCAGGAAATAGAAAGTAACAGATATGCTTCTCCAGATATCAGATTGGCATACTCTGTCTGTCTCCTTATTCTCCTGGTACATTCTTAAATGATCATGTTGAAATAATATGTATATCTTTATTTGTATAAAAAAAGCAAATAATTAAAATTACATGGGCTATTGATATCTATACTCACTTCTCCAGGAAACCCATCTTGCCTTTTTTTCCTTATATAAATAAACTTTTCTTAGGACTGGGGATTTAGCTCGGTAGCATAAGTGCCTGCCTGGTAAGTGTGAGGTTGTGAGTTCAATCCCCAGTAACAACAACAAGAAAAATTCTTATATATGTACAATGCCAAAATAGAAAGTGTTACATGTAATTCATTTATTATGTTTTGATATCTGCTTTCTTGGCTGTGGGTTAATCAGGTGTTTTATAACTTAATGCCATTGCATCTCTGTTTATCTTTTGCTCAGGGAGAACCTGGAAAACAAGGAGAAAAGGTAAGAATGATTCTGCCTGTATTTCTGTACTCTCAGAGCTGTCCAAACTGAATTGGATGGGTGGAGGAAGGAAGGGAGAAAGTGATGGATGGATGGACAGATGGATGGATACACAGGCAGATAGATATGATAATAGAAAGTACCAGTCATGACTTTATTTGCTTGTTTCTCAAACTGTTAGTGTCAAAAGAAAATAATATAATTTTATATATACAAAAGCTTGAGTAAAAAGATTTACAAAAAGGGAGAGACAGGAAGCAAATTTAAACATCTGTACAGACTTTTCAGTGGCTTTTGAAAATGCCCATGCCTGCGGAATCTCTGTACGACTTACTTGCTAACGCCTTTCCAGTATCTTTAAGCACCTACATTCTCTCTCTACTGCTTCTTATGTCACGGGTTAAAGGGATACAGATGTTCAGCAGCAGCAATTATCTGAAACTTGCCCCACGAAGAATTCCCATAAAAACCAGAGAGAAACACAAAAGGAGAACAGGGTGTTGCGTGTTCAATTTCCGAGCCTCCCTCCTTCCTTTGGTGCCCGGGCTGAGCTTTTTAGAGCCCAGGGCATGCGGTGGTGCTTGGTTTCCTGGTTTTCCCACTTTGCCTGCAGAGCATCCGATAGATAGTGCTGAGTAGGGAGCTACAGCATCGCGACCTCATCTTGCTGGCAGTCAGTTTTGTGACCCTGAGTTCCAAAGAAGTTCAGCTGAAAACCAAGATACAAGTCTTCAGTGTAACTGTACTGAATGGAAGCGTGGTAGAGAAAAACTCAGCATATATTGAATAGAAAAGCAAGAGAGAAGGGCGTGAGAAGCAATTTCATGACCCAACAGCCTGTGTCCGGCCCTTGGCTTTACAGCCACTCCGAGTTAGCTTTTTAAATAAGGAGGTTTGTTTGCGCATCAAGAGATTTTCAAGAAATTTTTCTGGAAAAGCATGCAAATAAACTGTCAAAATTCTTTCAGAATAAATTGCCAGTGCATTTACTTGGCATCCAACTAGTTCATAGTAATTAACTGGGAATTAATTAGGCACCAGATGACTGTTTTATGCAGAACTGAAGGAGGAAAAGAAATGTTGTCTGTCCTCCCGGTGACCGTGAGACAGGAATCGCCAGCTCTCACGGCCGGCGTGCAGTGTCCACATCACAGAGTGCAGAGCAGCTCATCTTTGTGCTTGTTTGAAGCAAAAGAGTGAAAGCCTCCTTCTGTTGGGGACAACAAATTATAAATTGAGTCTGGGGACGACCAAGACCGTCCTTGTCCTGGCCCTTTGAGCCAGATTGTGAGACAGAAATTCCGAGCTCTGTCGGCTCCCAGTGGAAGCCTCGGGCTAGTGGGGTGCTCACAGGTCGGGCGCCTTGCTCCTCCCAGCCCCCTGTGAGCACCCTTACAGCTCACTGCCCCTTGTCCTTGGCCAGATGTAATCATTAAATACCAAGTCCTGGCTGCCTCGCGGCCTTTTGTTCCCCATGAAAACTGGCCATGCTGGATCCCTGCTTCACCCCTTTGGTCTCTGGCTCTTTCTCCCCACTGTGTACCTTAACTCCAAGCAGAAGTTTGGGGGTCTCACTTTGAGGGTCCCTGATAACTGGAGCCAGGGAAAGAGCACTCTACCTATAGTTCATTACTTCTTTTAAGAAAGAAAAAAAAAAATGCCTTACAATACAGAGAAACTTTTGACGTAGAGAGAATTTCATTTGGCTAGTAAGCGTCAAAGGTGGACATGGTCTCTGAGGCTCCCAAGCCTGTGACATTTCTGCTAGAGCCTGTAGCAAAGGTTAAAGACCTCAGAATGGAAGGGCTCTTTCCCTAGAGCGCTGCTTTGTGGAGAGAAGGAGATGTCTGGGAAGGGATGGGTATAGGCAGTCACGAAAATAACAGAGCATAATGATTTATATTTTTAAAAAGTTTTATAACAAAACACGAAACTTTCATTTTCACAAATTCACCTTTGGTAAGCCTAAATAAATAAATACACCGACAGCCGGTTTTGAGAGGCACGCCCTCTAACTCAGGCCCTGGAGGCTTGAGATGGGTTTGAAGATGAGGTGGGATTTATATCGTGAAAACAGACAGCTCAGGAGCCTCGGTGGCACAAAGCGGGACACAGAAGTGGCCAGCAGAAGGTGACCTGGTGCCTGGAGGAGATTTTCAGGAGAAAGCCTTCACTACAAGAGCTTTGAGTGGAGGAGAAGGGACAGAGGGAGGAGGCTTCAGTGTCCAAATAAGCTTTTAGAAAGGAGGCAGACAAATTACTTTCTGTTGATGTTATGGAGTTTAAAACTATTCAGCCATGTTCGCTGTAATAAAATTAACTGTATTGATATCAGGCAGCTGTGCAAGAAAATTAGCATCCCTACATTAGCTCACTAGAACATTTGCAACTGATGTTTACCTAGAGCCTGTGTGAAAGGACACTGAATGAAAATACTCCTCGCTCCATGTCACGGGTCAGTTGTTATATACCTCACTTTTTCCTTTCCTCAGGGAGATGCTGGAGAAAGTGGCCCCAAAGGTGACACCGGAGAAAAGGTACGATTCTGTGAAATATGAAAGGGTCCTTGTGTAAGAAAGCGTGTGAATTCGTACGGAAATGGAGGATTTTGCAAGTGGAGTCACGCTAGCTTAATAGGACAAGGGCAGAGATAATTCCCCAAGGTCAGAGCGAATTTCGACCTTGGATTTATAAAATGTTCTTCCTCTTCATCCTATCTACAAATTTAAACATTTTGAAAGAAAAATGCTGTGTCAACAATTCTAAAACATGCACAACCAAAAAGTTTCCAATCCTGTGGCTTTCTAGGAATGCAAACACTCGACTTGTGTGTAACAGGGGTCCTCCATTTAAATGCGAGGATGGAAAAGAGAGCCCCCAAAATGACTCCTTTGTTCCGGTTGTAGGAGACAGCATGTCAGAGAATTGGGACAAAATGTAAAAGTTTGATCACAAGTTGTCATCACTTCATTAGGGTCTTTAGCGCAGTCTTAAAAATTTGCCTCTCCTTAAAGCCTACTAAATCTATATATTTTTTTCAACTTTGGTGTTTTCTTCTTGGCCATTTCCATCATGATTAGTGGTGACTGTGCGGGTGTCGGTCTGTTTGTCCTCCTCCTCTTCCCCTCAGCCTCTGTCATACCTTTCACCTAGATGGATACTTACACATCTCTGACAGTGTGACATCTCTGATGTAGGAAGGGTTCCACTTCATTTTACAGTGTTAAGAGTTAAGAAAACATTTTAAGAAACCAACTAACTATACAACGGACTTGAATGCAAATCAATTGATTAAAAAAAGAATTATTATTTGGGCTTAGAGTTGAGGGTCAGACACTTGGAAAATTATTACAGTGCAAATGGATAATGGTTAGTAATAAAAACATGCCCACAAAATAAACAGAAATGTATCTCTTTCCTTCTCATTAATATTAATATGAATATGGTGTGGGGAGATGAATCAATGACACCCAATAGCAACAGAGCTCGTGTCTGAGCAGATACCTAAGAATTAGAGGAAACTGGGTTCCTTGGAGACCAGGCTCTCTGGCCTTAGCGCTCTTGAGGTTCTGGAATCAGTAATTCTTGATTGCGGGGACCATCGCCTTGGGCTGTCTCCAGGACAGACTCACCCTAGTTGAGTATTTTATTTATCTGCCATGTCTAGGTATCTTGCTGCCATCAAAGATGACATGAAACTGTGTCATACAAATAGGACCAGAGAGATATTCCAACTACCCTCAAGCTCAAATTTTGAAGCCTTAACTGTGTAAACCTGGATGGCAGTATGTGCAGTTTCTTCTTTTTGCTTGAAATCAGAGGTCAGCCAACTCTTTCTTTAAATGCCACAAAAATAAATATTCTCAGTTTGCAGCTCCCTACAGCCCCTGGCAACGCCTCAGGTCCGCTGTTGCAGCGTGGAACACAACCACGCAGCCCGCAGACAGGTGTGGCTGGGTCTTATGATCAGCCCTGGAAATTTTAATCCTATAATTTTCATATGTTGTGAAACACTGTTATTTTTACTTTTTTGCCACCTAAAACTGTGACAGCCACTGTTGGCCAATTGGTCTTGCAAGTGACCAACTGGATTTGGTCACAGTTGTCAACTTCTGCACAAAAGTGTTGAGACACCCTACATGGAAGGCAATTTCTTCACGCGAAAAAAAAATTTATACCAAGTCAGAACTGTGCCTATGTGGGTTTATGGAGAACATTTTACACTTTTGAAAGGCAGGCCAGTCTAATAACATGTGTTTTGAAATGAAATTCCACAATTGTAAAGCCACCTTTTTCTTTGAAAAGACCAAAGCATCTCAAAGGAATACTGTTGTTATTTTATATATTAGTGAAAATCATTTACCATGCTGACTCACACATCATAAACTCTCAATAAATACTAACTTCTTCTACCACGTGGAAATGGAAATCAATAAGATTGGTTGTTTCTCTTTTTTTATCAAAAAGTTTTATTAGTCAGCTGAAATTAAGTACAAAAACGGAAATCATTTCTATAAACTTTCGATGGATCTAAACGGGGGATTGTAAATAGGAATCTGTAACATGTATAATATGTAATCTGACCTGCAACATTCTTCCCAAGAATGCTGTAATTGGAATATAATTTTTGATGTGTTTTTTAAACATTTCCTGCTTCTGTCATATAATTTGTTTCCCGCATGTTGGAAACACTCTTCTTGAGGCCTTTTTGTTCATTATGTGAAGCTCATTCATCATTCACCAAGGTTAGGATGTAAAATTTTTTTAAAATGCTTCTTTTCTGCCATCGATGTAGTAAATTACATCATTGACTGATTCACTTTAATAGGATAGGATTTTTTTTCCCCTTTGATCCAACGCAGTGCCTTGGGATGGTAAAGCAATCTAAGCCGCTCCAGACTGATCATCTGGAAATGCAGTGGGACTATAAAAGCTCCCAGGCTGGGCTGTCTTTGTGACCAGCAACTGCAGTGCCCTGGGAGCCTGAGAATCACCTGCCGGAGGCTGATTTCAGTCCTGAGTTTCGGCGGGAGCGCAGTATTCCATCCTTTGGAGGCCACCCCCCTCCCCGGGGATTGTGGCGACTGTCATAGTGGATCCCTGTCTGTCTCTGCCCCCCGGGAGTGGGTACTCGTGTGACCCTGTCATGCACTGTTCTCCTGCTGATGCAAGAGTTGCTCCTTCATGCTCTGGGCATTGCTGTCTGCTTTCTGCTCGTTCCCTTGGTCACACCACCTTCCTCCTCGACATCTGCATGACATTTTTCATACGCAGCCTCTTGAGTGTTTTCAGAAAGCACAGAATGTCTGGAGCTACCCACAAATTCTCCTAAACGCCTGGCTCTCTGCAGCGCCCCCTGCAGCAGTCAGCGCTGACCTCTCCCTTGTTCAGTGAGTGCCATTTCTTAGATGTGCGCTGTCCTGCTCTCCCAACTCCTCGCCTCCACTTTTCTCCTTCATTCTGTTACTGTCTTTCTCCCTCTCCCTCTGGTCCTCTCCTGGCTCCCAACTGCCTCTCTCTGTACTAGAGACTGAGCCCAGGGCCTTCACACTGAGCTACAGCCCATCCTCAGACGTTTTTTTTGAGACAAGATGTCTCTAAGTCACTCAGTTGTACAGATTGGGCTGGCACGTGGGACCGCTCTGTCTCAGCCTCCCAGAGTGATGGAGTGACGTGCAGGCTTGTGTCACCATGCCTGGGCTTCATTCTTCAGCTTGAGTTTAGGACTCACTTCCTTGGGGCAGTCTTTAACCCCGCTCTGAATGCTTAGGTCTCCTACCACATCTTCTAACAGCTCTGGCTATCGTTTCTGTCATAATCCTCAGCACACTTTAGTATAATTTCTTTTTTAATTCTGATATTCAGCTCACTGAAAAAGCAAAAATAAACTAGATGATGCTGGACTATTCTAGTCTCAGCACCAACCCAAGCTCCTAACACAGCTAGAAAAGATTGAGTGAAAAACCTTTAAAATTTTTTGTAGAACTCTATATTCATAGAATGCTAGAGGTCTTTCCTTTTTAAAGGAAAGGAAACAGTATTCATGCTTGTAGTCAGTGTTTTTGTGATATGCGTGTATCTCATGTCGCGTATCAGCATGTCTAGTGTAAAAACAGAACAGCGGCAGGGACTGTCAGCGCGTTGCTCAGTGCTGTCTCTGGCTGCCAGCATCCCTAGATGCAGAACACGCTTGGCACCTAATCAGTGCTCACTAAATACCTCGGGATGAGCAAATGAATGCTATGAATGTGCTGCCCATTCACTTTCTGTTCCATATGTGTTTTATTAGCACATGCATGTAATTATCTACTGAGTGTTGCATTTAAACATAATCACAAGTAAAACTAGAAATTGGGCTTTGGTAAGAAATCAGTGCAATCAAGTTCCTGTGCTCAAGTGTCTGCTCAAAGGGTGAGAAGAGTCTGCCCCCACCTCTGACTTACCCTGGGCGAATTTTTATTTCTAAATCAAGGCACTTATGAAGCTAGGAACATATTTAAGACATGATGATTTGGGGGGGTCCCCTCTTTAATCCTGTGTTCACTTTCACGGTGGGAGGGGTACTATAAACACACCATGTTAGGTCTGCTTCTTGTAGCATTATCCTTTAAAATGTTTAACTTATAAATGTCTTCCACAAGTTGCCTTGCCACTTAAAAGTTATAAAAATTCCTGGAGATTTCACAGCTTCAAATCTTTAAAACGAGAATAAAAAATATCACTCTTAGCTGTCTATCAAATGAAATCTCTCAGATTTCTACAAAATAAGTCCACCTTTGGAAAGGTGTCCCTTTCTTTCCAGCCAGTTTCTATGAGGAAAAAGCCCAGTTTTTTGTTCTTACAGCGGACAATCTAACCACTTTCCTTTAAAATACTGGAAAAAATGTTTAACTACAAGCCACTTACTTACAAATCTATCTTAGCCTTTATGTCCTGTTGTCAAAATGAAATAAGCCAACAATTCGTTTCTTATTCTCATAAAAAGAACACAGTAATAGAATTTAGCAAGTACCAAATTCACTTAGTTTCTAGTTGCTTCAATTCCTTTACCTATAAAAGGGAAATAATAACATCTGCCCTGCTTCTTGGAAGTTTTTTGAGTCATAAATGAGATGAAAAAAGGAATTTCACAAAGTCAAAGTTGCTTTTATTAATTCAAACGTCTTACTGTGCAAATTATTGCAAACCTGGCTCTTTAGTGTTAACAGCTTTCAGACTTAATAGAAATAAAGGTAAGTGTTTTCTTAGCCACGTTATTTCACCTCCCATTTGGAACTCAGCTGAATGTTGATGCCTGGGGAGAGAAGAGGAGCGTGGTTCTGCAGGAAGACACTAGCTGGAGTTCTCTACTTTGTTTAGTCTCATTTTAATTTTTCTTTGGCTAATAGCAATTATAGATGTCACAGAAACTCACCTAAAAGCTGATCTGCCATTTCATTCTCCTACCAAAGTCCCTCCCCTGCCCTCCTGAAGGCTGTTTCCTTTTACTCTTTGACTGCCAAACTGTTTTAAAACTTCTGTTTGAGATTTGGTCACTCACATACCAGATGCACAGCGAGCATGCAGTGCCATCAGGCTGAGGCTCAGCAGGGCAGCCACTGACCACTGATGAAGTGGGGCAGAAACACAAAGAGGTCTGAGAAGGGGTCAGAGATGACCCCGCAGGAAGACTCAGGGTGCCGCGTGTAGGATGCTTGCACGAAGGCCACCTGTCCACACGTGAAGGCCTCTTTGAGGCAAAGCCATTTACACTGTGTAGGCGCCATCATGGGAGAAAGGGAGAGGGTGTGAGTGAGGGGACAAGGGCCTGGGGCCTGTGCCTGCCTCCCAGGGAGACTGGTGAACAATTCCAGGAATCCAGAGCCTTTGCACAGACAGCTGAGAAAACCATGCTGTGTTCTTCCTCCCAGGACTGCTGCACTTTTCTCGACAGTCGCAGATGACAGAAGTTTTCTTCTAGGAGTGTTCAGGGGACAGAGAGGTCTAGAAGGAGCTTGAAAGTCCAGGCCCTCCGCTGGCTTCTTTTCAGAAATCAGCAGCGTTCCCCACTCCTCCACACTCTTTTCTCCTCTTACCTGGGTCTGCTGATTCATGAAGCATTTGCTTTAAAGGCAGAGTCACCCTCTTTGAAATCTGAGTGGCATATAATGCCTTTGAAAAAACACTCTCCTAGGGTTTACATCTGTCCCCGTCACCCAGGCGCCAGCCATCACCTTTGACTTCCCGGCGACTGAGTTACACTGAAATAGGTGTAAAGCTGGGCAAGGCCTGTGGTCAGCACTTCCCGTCTGCTGCGTGGCTCCACATCATTAACCCTTGACTCTATCAGTTGAACCTTGGTTTTCTGAAGACCAAAAATGTCAAGGCACTCCCTGAAGATGATGCCCAGTGATGTTAGCCAATTCTAGAAAGAGGGAAAACCAAAAGTTACAGGTCCCTAAATTATAATTTATTGCTCCAAAACACATTGTTCAGAAAGAGGTTGATGCACAGTGTTTATTTAAGGAATATGACCCTAATGTATTTTGCAGTCAGAGTAAACTCATGTTTATAGAAGTACATGGTCTTCTTAGACATCTTATTATTGTCATCTTAGCAGCTGATAAAGTCTTACAGAGCACAGTTGGGCCATTGGGCCTGGCCCCTCTTTGAGTATCCTTGTGGTTAATGGCTCTTTGGTGGGGTGGAGAGGGTTCCTACTCGCACCCCTTATGGAATAATCTCTCATGGGTTCTGTTTCAGGGTGATCCCGGATCATCTGCTGCAGGAATCAAGGTAATAACTATGCAAGTGTTTGTACCACAGGGCTCACAATTTTGAATTTCTAAGCCTCTTCGTTGTGGTCCCTTTTTCCAGCACTCCTGGTGGGGCTCCATTCCTGTTCTGCTAGCATAATCAGCTGCTAAACACAGCAGGACTATGGGGGGGGGGGGTGCCGGTGGCATTTAAATAAGCAGGCTGGCCCTCTCTTCCCTTTTGGCTTGGTTTTATGGAAGTGTGGATTGGTATGTGAGCCATAGGTATAGTCATAAACAAAATGTCCCTCCACCCAATGAAATGGAGAGGAGGAGAATAAAACACGTGATCCAGAAGGTTGGGTCCTCTCTGAAAAGTCATGAAGGCCTCAAGCCTTGTGGAAAGTCTTGTAAGACTGCATTCTTGGCCAGGGATTTAGCTCAGCGGCATAAGTGCCTACGTAGGAAGCATGAGGTTGTGAGTTCAATCCCTGGTACCAAAAAAAAAAAAAAGACTGCCTTCTCATCTTTGGTTTTCTTTGGCCAGGGAGAACCTGGAGAATCTGGTCGCCCAGGGCAAAAGGTAACCTCTCTACCTTAGTGTGTTGTGTGTACTGTATTCATCAATTTACATCTAAAATCCACTGAGTAGTACAAAAATGATTATTGCAAAACGATGTAGTTTTCATATTTTGTATACAGTGTGTTTTGGGCTATTTTGCATTATTAAGGGTCTCGATTGTGACCACAGAAAAATATGAAAAGAAACTCTCTCCATGTTAAGAGGATGCTTTATGAGCGAAAGTCTGCATGTCCCTCCACTGTTTGACCTAACACAGGTCAGCTGGGTTGCAATGCCAACAACTTACCTTGAATGCTCAAAGGTAATCCGCATGTTTCCATCTTTCATGAGAAGTATGTGTTAGGCTGTCTCGATACAGAGTGATGAACAGTTCTTTAAAAATTCCATTCCTTTTCCTTTAATCACAAATGCTTTTTTCTTGATAATTTCTATATGACTCTACCTGTGCCATGAGTGTTAAGTCAGATGAGCTAAATGTGTTAATAAACTAAACTTTAAAACACTAGCCATCCTCATTTAACTAACCAAGCGGTAGCTACATTAAGCTCTTTATCATTGGGTCTTCGTTTCAGCAACTATGTGCAGGGACTGTGTCTAGATTCATAGTCTCACTCACGTCTGAGGCAGGAAGCCAGTGTCACAGTTTACCATCTGAATCCAGTGCAGTCAGGTTTCGGGTAACAGCCGGACGGTAGCTAGCAAGAGACTGTGAATTCCACATTAATTTAAATCTCTCTTAAGATCATGACTCTGCCTTGGTCCAGTAGTTAGTTGATATTGTAGACAAAAATATGAATAGGAAGATGAAATGTACCACAGTAGCAAAAAAAAAAAAAAAAAGAAAATACATCAAACAGCAAAATCATGCCTTAGGCAATCTTGAAGTCATTGCGGAGGCTTTGTTTTAAATTCTGAGTATGGAAATAATTTTTGAGGAAGTCTTTCATATTCTTCTGACATTCTCCAATTTCAAGACAGATTTTCTCTTGCAACTAAGAATCTAGAGTAGATTCTAGATCAGCCCTAGTTCCAGGTAAAGTTGAGTTTTCCAAAAGCCCAGGAAAACTCTGAAAATTTTACTGTTTAATTCCTAATATTTCCTTCTGGTCTTTACTTAAGAAGTGAAATTAGTGATTTAGTCAGAAGTCCATCGTTGAGTTTGCTTTGAAAAGACAACTAGTCTCAGATGAATTAATGTTAAGCCCTTGGTCTTTAAATATTAAAGGCTATGTTGAAATTGCCCTCCAAATCTGTGATTTTATAATAGAGAAAAAATTCCATGAGATTATGTCTCTAAAACACAAATCAAAACAATTTTGCTATAATCTTCGGTTCCACTTTTCTCAGAATGGATGAAGCAAAATGATCTTCAGTTGCATAATAAAGCACTGCTTACTGTGATTCTTTTGAAATACAGTTTGGATTCATTCTGGAAGTTTGTAGCTTTACTCATAGTAACTTTAGATTTCCTTTGTATTTCACTAAAATCAGTTTTAAATTACACAGAAAGAAGACAGTCGGTTCACTTAAAAATTTGAAACCCCTCTAGGTTAATAGAAGCCACATCTATTAACCTAAAGCAACATCTTCTCATTAGCATTGAGGCCAGACCCTCGCCTTTGATGTGGCCTTGCAGTCCCACAGTGATCCAGCAGCCACTGTCTAGCGCAGGGGTTTGGTAACACTCCGTACCGCACCACCAGCTTGAAAGTCAAGGGTCTCCTTGCATGTTGCCAGCGCCAGTAAGAAAACCAGCACACTGCATGGAGCAGGGTCGCATCTGCAGTGCTGCCACTCAGGACAGTGCTGAGGGTTCAGGTTGCTTAAGCCACTTCTCTAGGGTCAGTGCCAGCAAGGTTTAGAAGACCTTGACACAGCACACGCCCAGTGATTGTGACCCTTTCCACGTGCAGGTTTGATATCTAGAGGTCATGCTCAGAATGCAGGGCGATTGCACTGGGTTTCTCTTTGCATAGCTTCAAGAGCAGAGAGTGGAGTTGGGAGATGAGGTAGATGTTTACACAGGCTCCTGGAGGGAATGTGTAGCTCCATAAGGCAGATACTGTGTTTCATCACATAGTTCTTTCCTGGCCTCTGTCTCTGTCTCTTTTTCTGTCTGTCTCTCTCTCTCTCTTTCTCTGTCTCTCTCTCTCCCTCTCTCTGTCTCTAGGTAGGGCTCTCACTATGTAGTTCAGGTTGTTGTTGGATTCACTGTGTAGCTCAGGCTGGCCTGGAACTCGCAATGACCCTCCTGCCTCAGCCTCCGAGTACTAAGATTATAGGCATGTGCCACTGTGCCTGGCTTTCTAACTTCTCTACATCTTTTTAAAGTATGCATTTTGTTTTCAAAGCAATAAAATTAGTTAATATTGATGTCCATCATAAAAGAACCTGACCACTGGACTCTTTCTAGAGATGCAGGGTACTTTAACACATCTTTTAAGGTATATATTTTAATGTTAAAGTAATAAATCTCAAAAGAGAGCCTCTCCATTGAGCACTGTCTAGAAGTCTGGGTTGCTGTCACAGAGGCATGCAGTGAAACGCAGTCCTGATTTTGTGAGGGTCTCTCCCAAGAACGAGTAAAGAGCAAAAGTGAGGAAAATCAACCGTGTAATACACCTCTGTAGAGCGGAATCTCTCGGACAAGTCTTTGTGTAGACCAACAAGCTCGTTCCTAGTTCCGACCCAGCTCTTACGCACAGGCTGCCTGCGCCCAAGGACCCAGCTCCCAGGAGCTCCTGAGGCGAGGCATAGAGGACACGCAGAGGTTAACAGGATGGCTGTCTCTAAGCTGGAAGATGAAAGAGAATTACATGGGAAGAACTGTCTTCCTAAAACTGATAACAGATGTTCCACAGAGGCTAACATTAAATATAGTATAATCTTTCATTGTATCATCTAGTGCGTGAAGGAAATATAAATTTGGAAAAGTTGAATTTGTAGAAATTTGAGACTATACAATAAGAATCTCTGAAACTTTTTCTCACCAAGGAATACACTTATGGCCTATCACACACAAACACGCATGATATAAAAAAAGGTTAAATGCCAAAGTCTTTGTACTTAGCTTATATTGTAAAACATTCCATCCTGTCTTACACATCTTTCTCATTGTCAGAATACAGAGTAAGTACCCATGATACACATGCCCATGCAGTCTTTCTTTAAGCAATTCTTTTAATCTGGCTAGGAGGGAAGGAAGTGATGAGAATTCTTACTGGAAAATAGTGTTATGAATGATATTGTTTCTACATATGTTTGCATGTCTCTGAAGTGATTGTCGGGAGATTTTTCTAAAACAGTGCACAATTTTATTTGTTGTGTAATCCACTGCAATTTGTTGTTTCCAACGACTTTGTAGTTTTTTAAAGAAATAGAGACCTTTTAATGTAATATTTTTGAAAATCTTTCTACTGGATTCCCTTAAGTTTATGAAGTAAATGGTGAATGGAAAAGAAAAAAGAAAATCAAATCTGTAATACTGTAATTCTGTAAGTTTAATTACAAGTAGTCTTTCAATGCAATATAAATTCTTAACAATTTTTCTTTCTTCTCTAGCTTGACCCCATTATATTCTTATTCCCAGTGCAAACTTTCACTTACAGTTTGGACAGAATAGTTTTTCTTTTGCATTCCTGAAGAATCTTTCTGAATTCTAAACCATCAAGAAGCCCATTGCTCCCGTTTGTCTAATCATAGGGTTCAATAAACTAAGTCATTTTGTGATAATATCAGAGGGAGTTGTAGCTCTCCGTCATTTGGAAGTAATGTTAAAGATGGAAAACCAGTTTGTTCTTAGATTTCCCTCTAAAGCAGCAAGAGCCATCTTCTGCTCTCCTGTCTCCAGTGTGGCTGCCACCCACTCACTTACCATTAGCAAAATGATGTGATTCGATTACCTTTAAAGCATTATTTCCACAAATATAGCATCGACCAGCCCAAAACCGACTTTCATTTGTCCTGTAATTCCTTTGTGCTTCTTCAGTGGAATTCGGGAGATTTTCTGAGCAATGTAACCTCTCATCCCTACACTTTGTGCTTAAAATAATGTAGACGATTCTGTGAAAATGAGAAGGGTTCGCCTGATTCCACTGTGCGCCCCAGTATGCAGCACGTAATCTCAGACCTGTATTTGGGAACAGCTGCATGGTACCATTAGCCCTGAGCTGCTAAGCACTTTGCCCCAACTCAACAATTGTCAGAAATACAGGCTGGGAGTTAAGTCTAATCTTCACCATTTACTTATCTTCTCATCATTCAGGAATGGAAAGGAAATCTCACTAGCCTTTTAAGTGAGCAGTACTTTAATGTATAGTGTTTGGACGTGACCATCTGTTCATGCAGCCAACTCTTGATTCTCTGAGGTGAGAGCAGCGTGGAGAAGGGCATGAAGACCCCTCCTTTCTGCAAACAGCTCCTGTGAATCATTTAGCGAAGGAGAGTACAGTAGAGACATTGTTTCTCCTTTCACTTCTCTTTCATACGCTGTGATAGATGTGCCAAGGAAAAATCCTGAAAGATCTGCAAAGTAGTCAACCCAACCCTGAATCAAGAGTTGACTGAATTTCATGATTTCATTCAACTGCTGCAAGCAATGCAGTTTTTTAATGTATTTATACATGCAGAAAGAATTCAGCTAGGAAGCTTTGCCATGTTTTTCGCCAGAGATTGTGACTGAGTGGGTATCCTTCTATAATGCCGTGTGATTTTCCTGTGTAGGGTGAACCAGGGCTTCCTGGGCTTCCTGGACTTCCGGGGATCAAGGTAAATACTGCACGGACAGTCTTGGCTTTGTAGATTGGTAATCGTGAGTCTCCCAAGTTAGAAGGAGATGTGGGGGAAATGAAAATGATATTCTTTCAATCTTCTCCAGCCATGTCAACCAATTAATTTTTAATTAAAAATCAAGCACAGGTATTTAAGGTTTCCCATTGCTACTTAGACTGTATATTCCCACTACTCAGCCTACTGTACTCCTTAAGGAACTGTAAACGCCACTTCACTGAAAGTTATGAAAATTTTATAAACTCTAGACTGTCTCTTTACCTTCATATTCTAATTTTATTCATAAGATCCTACCAAATCTTGAGCAGAACTAGTCTTAACATTCCTAGAAATCAAACAGGCAGCTGTTTTGGGGATTCTGCCATTGTAATAATCCCTCTAAAATATTTGTGGTTCCACTTCCTGTCAGTAACTCTTCCTCAAGAGGGAAAACCATTTCTAAAATGTTTTGATCAAGGCATATACTGTCCTCATACAATTTCTATGTATCTTTTGAAATAATTGTTTAAAGCTTAGTTCTAAAACTTTGTTTTAAATGTTTTGAACCACCTAAAAGAACATGTTTAAAAATTGTGTACAATTTTCACACAGCAACTTACAAGACTTTCTGTAGTTACTCCTTTAAAATCAGCTCCTTATTTAAAATATAAATGCATACTCCAGAACTATGTGATACAGTAACATAATACAATGTTTCCTGACATTGTTCTAATCTTACAGTTTCAAGTCAATCTTGCTGTGCATTGATCCAATCTGAAATTAACATTCCTGCTTTCAGAGTGAGAGTTCTATACGTTGTTTTATGAAATTTCTGCTTGGGATATGTTAAATAATTTTAGAAGTATTAAATTGCAGTGTATATATGCTTGCAATTCAGTTGCAACCAGAATCTTGTAAAGACTTGTGTTTATGAACCAATGCACCACTGTTTTGAGTTTGCAGAGATCTTACGGCATTATATATAATATTTTGTAAGCACATTTGGTATAACTAATAAACATGCAAACTATGTCCTCCAGGTGAACAGTCCAGAGATTTTGGTTTGAGTTTTCCAGGGTGGTATCAAGAAATTTCAGATATGTCCTTTTCATATATTTTTAGCCTTTGGCTTCTCCAACAGAAAGTGCCCAAATGACACCCATTTGCTACGCAGTCAAAGGCACTGACTTATCATCTGCTGGCAAGCCAGGATACCTCCACAAACTCATCTGGGATTTCATATTCCAGGGTTAACGCACGGTGGTGCCTTAGTAACTTCCACACATTAAAAATGACAACTTTTTTAAAATAATGATTAAGAGATCATAAATTTTTTGTAATGAACTTAAGAGTGATATTCAGGATTAATTAAAAAGAACTTCGTGTCATTATAAATCAGCAAGAAGGGTCTTAACAGCCAGGCGCTTGGAAGGCTGGGACCGAGCTTCTGAGCATCTGCCACAAGCGCTTGGGGTGAATGTCAGCCTCTGCTGGCACTTGCTCAGCCATGGGGAGACTCGGAGGTTTGCAGCTCCTGAGCTCAAACAGCTTCTGGATGAGAGAGCCGAGCAGGGGCACGAAGGAACCCATTTTTTCCCTCCAAAGCTGTATATAATATGAATGATGCTATGACTCACTATCATCCTCATGTTTTAAGGTTATATTTCCTCTACACGAAATTTTCCCCTGGGCCCTTGGCATTGCCCTTGTGCCCTGTGGCTCCTCTGAACGCTTCGGCCTCCTGCGGGGTGGGAGGGCGGTTGCTGGTTTCCCACCTTCCTGGAGTGCCTCTGTTCTTGCAGTATGCTTCATGCAAGTCATGGAGCACTGATATCTTCTTTTTCTGTACCTCAGGATGGTAGTGAAAAGAAACTATTAATTGAGCAAAACCCTTCTCTACTTTGTAGAAACACTACTGTTCTGTAGGAATATGAAGCACTGTTGGGTAACGAGCCAGTAGCTGATGTAAATCATAGGGTCTACACTGGCTTGATGAGCTTTGTCTTGTCACCATAATTCCCATAAGAGATACGCTCTCCTTATAGTGTAGTAAGTGCTGGGCGCAGGTCAATAACTCTGAAAAGGAACCAATTTAGGGCACATTAGGATCATTAGGATTCACTGGATGCTCGCAGAGCTACAAGGTTAAAATTTTATGATATAGCTTCATTAACTTAGAATTTCTTCCTTTCTTCCACTTACTTTCCTTCTACGTAGCCAGCCATGGGACAGGTAACTAGGGTTTCGTAGCCTAAGTGCAGGGCAGGGTTTAGAAGATGGGCTGAGTGCGCGAGCATGTGTGGATACAGAATATGTGGTAGCAAGAATGTCAGTCCTCAGCTTCCTAGACGTGTGTGTTTATCTATGCTTCGGAAGTATTTCCTGTCACTATTCATCTCCTTATCTGCGGGGCTACAGAGAGCTTGCAAACACCATTCCTTCCTTCAGAGACATGGAGGAAACCAGCCGTGACATACCGGGGGAGCTTGGGTTCGCCACCTGTTGCTCTCGGGGAAAGGTTGGAAACTTAATGAGCACCCGCATGCCTTGCACGGCGCTCAGGAAATGAACACAGAGCCTAAATACAGACCGCAGACTCATCTATCTGTCACCTCGGGGTCCCACTCAAAGCAGAGAGTTAATACCAAGGGCATACATAATACAAGTCACCAAGAACAGGCATGACTTAATTTCAAACCACTCATAAGCTTCCTGCACATGCGTTTGAAGGCCCATTGGCCATGTGGAAGGCATTTGGAATTCCTATTTCATGCATTCATGGTTCATATAGTGTCAAGATGTTCAACTGGGAAAATTAAATTATGCACAATGTACCATGCAGACATGGATCTTCTGAAATAAGACTTGAGTTCAGAAAATTAGTTTTATGAACAAGTCTTCAAATATTTTTAATGGGTAAAAATCATTGGAACTGGATTTTTCTGATCTCACATAAAAGGGTGAGGTTCCAAGTTACTTTTTTAAAAATTTTTTACATTCTATACCTATTTGGAAAAATGTGAAGACATTGCTTGCCCCTTCTTATGGCTACTTTACCCTAGTGTTTAGCAGTGTAGACCAGGGACTTCAGGACACACCACCAGTGTGTGGTCCTGACTCTGCCCTTACCAGGGGTGCGGTATGGGACAAGTTGCATCATCACTCTGTGCTTCCGTTTTCTCCTAAGATAAGAATCTTCATTGATCGTAGCACAGAGAAATATTATGAGACATAAATGAATTGATCCATGTACAGCACCAAGCCTATAGTCAAAGCTAATACAGTTTCTTTCTGTTGGGGCAGTGCAGAATATTGGAAGCATTGGCTACGTACCTGTTGTGTATATTCTTTCCTCCTGTGAGTCATTTTAAGCGACAGAACATACAGGTTGGTAGACATCGACTGTGAAAACTCCTTTGCCATCGTGGAGCGAGTGGCACTTAAGCATGCAAAGATCAGCCTCTGTTCTTGGACATGAGATCACACCACGCTCCTTTCTGTTATCCAAGCTTTTTCCATGAATGGGGGGTGAAGGATCGCGAGGTCCAGAGGATGTCACTCAGGAAGCTTTCTGTCCAGCTGCTGCTCACAGGAAAAGAAAAAGAAAGCTTGGCCTGCATCACAGTGCCGGACGTTCACCAGCCAGCAGTGCTGGGCTGCAGGCATCTCCACCAACACGCTTTCCTCCGTGCTGGTTTTCCACTGACACTGCTTTTCACCCTCTTCCACTGTTCCTGTTTCTCAGTGCTTTTTTTCCCCTTTCAACACCATTAATTTATCTCACCCAGAAATTAAATTAGAAAAATAAAATGAGCACAGGAGATCCATACAGTAAAATCTGTCCTCAAAATCCAAATAATCACTTAAGTGGCCCCAAAAGTTTTACAACTTGATGTTTTCACTTTGGCTTCTACTTTAGTGAAAATTTGACCTTCAGATCAAGAATTTGACAATTGGTATGGTCTGGGATAATAGCTAATTCTTTACACCATGTCTTGTAAAATCAGACTTGACGTGAGATCTTCTGCCCCGACTTTATAGGTGGCCAAGAAACTGACCTTTGGCGCTGTTAGGATTAAGCTCCATAACCTTACTGAAAGGTACCCTCTCAGCCACTGGAGATGAGGATCTGTCCTCAGAAACGTGAAGTCTCATTTTAAAAGTAGCAGAGAAAAATTCTTGGAAGTAATACAGGGCATAAATTCCTAAAAGAGAAAAAGAAGAAATACTAGCTTAAAAGATAACATTCAGTTATTGTTACTTATAATTATGTCCTCCTATAAACTCCATTTGAAAAGTTGAATACTTTGAGGGTCCAATTGGGACATTTATACAGCCAGAAATCAGAGACTTTTAGCAACCATCATGAAATTCACAGTAAATATAATGAATGTCTTTCATGATGTAATCCTCTTTTTTAAAAATCAGAAATGTTTTCTAAATTTGAAATCTGCTATTGTAGTTCATTTTCAACAAAGCCACCAAGATGTTTTAATTTATACTCAAATTTGATCTTAAAGGAAATCGGTGTTTTAAGGACAGACTCTACTTTCTCATTATTTTTTTTTCCTCCTTAATAATTTTATAAATCCATCACTACCAAACCCGGCTGCCTAGAGGCTCTTGTTACAACAAATGTTATTGCTATAATCTGCAAAAGCAGGTATCACGCTGACTTGAATTCTAATTAGCCTTTAAGCAAGAAGAATATTGTATGGTTAATGCATTCAGTGTCAAGACACATGAATCAAAATTATTGGTGATGCTTTTAGCACCCAGGCAAAACAGCACATATTTTTTTCAAGCACTGTTGTAGTATTTTTTGAGCAATGAAAATTGGGCCTACTTGGGGGTAATAAATATCATGGAAAAGATGACTTAGTTTAAGCTAGTATATTAGAGGTTTTTAAGACCAGTTTAGAAAAAACATTTTTACTCTTTTAATTGATTCTGAATTATAAAAATAAAACAAATGGTAATGCATAAAAAACTAGAGATTTTTCTGCAGGCAAAGGCTAATCAGAAGTTTCTGGTCATCCTTGTGCTCAACAGATGCTATGTTCTAGAAGTTTACACGGGAACCCCTGGTGAGCCATGTGTGTACGGATGGACACGGCTCTTCCTTTCTTGCCTTAACTTGCAGCCCAGATGGTTCGCTTGGTTAGGCGGACTGATAGGAGACCATCAGGCCACCTAAGCGCTTACTGGCTCTGCTCGTCTTCATGAAGAGTGTCCTTTATGTAAAACTGACAAAGGACTCTCAGGTCAGCTGGCCCAAGGACCATTCAGAAGATGGAGTATGGTCCTATGAGATCCTTTCTTGCTACTTATTAGATGTGGATTTTAAAAGAGCAATCAATGTTTCATTATGGAATTCTAAGATTCAATGAGATCTTTGTATTCATTGTCTGATTTTAGGAAGAGCATATTTCTAAGGAATTTTTCCACTGTTTTCTCAATTTCTGTCACATGGAAAACTAGTGTTTGCTGCGTCTATAGTTAATTGAGAAGGTTGTGGTTAGTGATTGTCATTGTCACTGTCTTTCTTTAGTTGTTGGCCAGAAGACATAAAATTTAAGCTGCTATTTCAATAGTATATTTAGGTTTTAAAAAGTAATCACATATGAGTTGAAGCGTTAGTATCTTCCCTTTATCTTACAGAAAATAAGGCCATTTGTCTATGGCTAAGTGTTCTAGTTTACTTCATTTCTGTGTGTACATATCACCCATCTTTGAAAGGAAAAAAAAACACTAAAACCAACACCCTAATGCACAATAGAACAGTTTTGGGGGTACAAAAACTGGATTTTTTTCAATGACAGTATAGATTAGTAACTGTGACTTACATACACTGACTTTAATACTACAAGATCAAGATTGTAGCAGCCCAGATGGTTCGCCGTGATTAGGTGGACTGATGTGAGGCCATCAGGCCTTCCACAGTCCGTGAGGAAGAGGCCTTCTGACTTCAGGCCTGTCCTGTGGATGGCTCTGCATCTTTACGGACATTGGCTGTTGGCTCAAATCAGCAGTCGGACTTTGAGATCTGTTTGCATCCTGTTGTTCTTCACAGCAGCAGCCTAGTAGGCCTGCATTTTGCTTAATCCTGAGTCAATAGTGTGTCTTCTGCCTTCCCTTCACCCCCGTGTAGTCACCAAAATTACAGCCGCTCCTGTAACCATCTTCTCGCAAAGAAGTGTGTCATAGACCGAGCAGCAGGACCTGGTTTTCTTGTTTAACTCATTGATGATAAAATATTAACCCAAGGATAAAACTCAAAACAACCTAGGAAGAAGTTAGATCCTAGAACCTAAAATGAGACCTTAAAGTGAAGCCAAATTAATCTCAGTTTTGGAATCTGAGGCTGTGATAGGCCCACTTTGCAGCCCCAACAGCAGAGCTGAGATCTCTCTTTCTCTGACAGCCACTTAGTCCTGGTTAGCATGTGGTTTGCATAGCAGAACAGGCGAGCTACCCATTATGTTCTAATGATTCAAACTCTGGGTTGTGTTAAGGATTCGGGTAAATAGTGTGGTATGCATTTTATCCCCGGGCTTTGGTTAAGTCATAGTTCTGTGCTTATTTTGAGAGTTAGATGGTCTGTTTTTCACACTTTTCTTTTTGTTCCAAGAGTAAATCTAGTTGGAGATGTTTCTAGGACCAGGGAAAAGAAAACAACAGAAACAAAGAAAACATTAAATATGTGTTTAATCGTGAGGTAGGGTAATGGGAGGAGGAAATGTTAAGACAAAATATTCCTCTCTCTTCTGGTCCCTCCCTCCCCTTTCCCTTCTCCCCTTTTTATTTTTCTCTATGACTTTGGTGAGCATCAACTTGCCCCCAAGCTGTTCACCCCCAGTCTCAAATGCCCTTCCCCACACAGCCAGCAGCTCCAGAGTGAGAAATCCCAGCTGACTGTCATCAACGTGGTCTCACTGATAACACAAGCAAAAATACGCAATGCAGTCATCATTTTTTCAGTAAAAGACACATTGCCATTGACCCCCAAAGTCCTCCCTCTCTCTTCAAACACACAGATCCCTTGGTTCTGGTCACTTCCTGCAGCCGCCCTGGAAATCCTCTTTCTTGGGTGTCTGGAGCTGAAGTGTTGTTGCTACCCGGATGTCTGAACTGATAAAGTGTTTCCCCTTCGTGGCTTCAAGAAGAGCCAGAATTCACATGGTGCTGGAGCCGGTGAATGAGACGGATGAGGAGCCCAGAATGTTCTAAGTGCCTGCCTTCCTGCTGGATGGCGCTCAGCAGCTGCATTCACCGTAGTATCGATCACATCTCATAAGACCCTCAGGAGGATTCCAGAACTGCTGCAGAAAGTGGCAAGGACAATAGGATGCATTTTCAAGCAGGAGGTAGAGAGGATATTTTGAGGGGGATTAATGTCAATGTGTCTTTTACTGCGATATGTTTTTACATTTAAAATTCATTGAATTCTTGATCACCTTATTTTTTATGTCATAAGCAAGTATTTGATATGATTTTAGGGTATTCCTGCATTTCTCTTAGATATTTTAAGAAATTCTGGAACCTTTCAACTGTACATCGGTCTTCGTTAGAGGCAAGAGTTTTTTAAAGGATCAAACTTGTGTATGGATATTTAGTGCATATGACCATAACCTCCTTCCCCTTCCATAAAGGAAGAAAGTCTAGTCTTGGAGAAGCTCTCACTTCTCTCACATACTTCTGATGTGTTTGAAACCTTTTTTCATTTTGTAATCTTACATGCCCTGGTAAATGGGTATTGTCTCATAAAACAATGACATGCTCAGATGAGAAAACTTAGGATTCGCGTTCGAAGGTGACCCCCAGAGTCCCATGGGCACACTTTGAGAACCTCTGGTATAAGCTCAGGAGGGAGGAAATAGCCCAAGCAGTGTCACATTACGGGTACCATATTGCTGCCCTCTTTACCCCAACTGATCCTGAAGCCTGACCATCTCCCCACATCCTGCCAAGGGATAGAGAGGGTGGAGATAATGTGTCTACGGTGACTGAGAGACCTCAGAGCGCATAAATGTAAAACTGTGACCCTAACATTAAATAGGTGACTCTTTCTCCTTTGATAAATTGAAATAAAAAATGTTGAAGATCTTATAAACATGGTAGATGCTTTCTTGGAATGTCAGGTAAAACTAATCATCCTCCAAGCCTTTAAAATTAGCAAATATCAATAGTACTAAAATGGGGAAGGTTGTCAAATGCATTCTACTTTCTGTTGTCAAATTTTCTATATTCTAAGAGGGAATTTTACATATTCTCTACTATAAATGACAAAACTTTTGTCTGGACAGTGAGATGGTAAAGTTTTATTTATTTGTGAATTATTGAATGGCATGTTTTACCTTTCTGTAAAGTAGGCACTAATCTAAATAAGAAATGTGTTTTCTGCCACACTTACCCTTTTCTTATTTTACTAGTATGCTTTCCCAGTGCTTCTACTTAACTTGCTAAACATAATTTTATTTTTACTCAAAGGTATATAAGAGTTGGTGTTAATCCATAAGCTTTCAATCTACTAACTTGCAGTAAACTTCCTGATCATTGTGCCTGCCTGTCAGGCGTGAGGTCATGAGTGATCCCCAGTGCCCAAAAAATAAAACATCCAAAAAAACTACTTATCATTATAATAACTTCGTGTTAATATAGCATTTCTCTTGAGCATAGAGAGGGGCTATTTAATTTGCATACATTATTTTATTAGGAGAAACATTTTATTTATAAATAAATGTGTTCCTTCTAAGTGTTGCTTCTGAAATAACAAGTTAAACATTTGGTTTACTAGAAACAGAATGGTTATCATTGCTTTCTCTAAATAGATTTGAGATTTGTATGAAGAGACCCACCCAAAATTGTCTGCAGATCCCTCTTCCCATTAAGTGGGAGGCTCTGGGGATGGTAGGACAGGCAGTTGTAGAGAGTTTCCAACAGTGAACCTAAAACATCAGGCCCATCCTATGTTTTCCCCCACATCAGGACCATGAACACCCAAGTCAGAGATAAATTATCTGAGTGGTTTATCAATACAACATGTGTGGTGATGGTAACGCCTTTTGTTCCCCACCCCTTCCCTGATGTTTTCTATAGCATATTTTAAAAGTACACTTGTCTGAAACTAGTTGGTGACACTTTAACATATCACGTAAAACATCTCTGTACCTTCCGCTCACCTCCACATACCATAAAACAAAGGATGAAATACTGCTGCTCAGAAAAATTCAGATGAACCAAGAAAATTATCAACAGCTCCAGAAATAATCTAAGCAAGTAAAAAAAAAAAAGTATGGACACAGAACCCGTATAGATTTGTTAGATTTTTAAGTAATTAAACCATTATATTTGAGCTTAAAAAGAAGATAAAACTTCATGGCCATTCAAGATAATGGGAACACTTGCATGGGTATTTTTTGACCTCAGATATGTAGTAGCTTTTCCAAAGCCAATTCTTCAACTCTCTGGTTCCAGCTCCGACTTAGTATCCTACAATTCAAGCCCATTCTGACATTATTGTAATTACTGTTGGGCTCCACACATTTAGGGCTCAGTCACATGACAGCTGCGTGTCACAGATACCAAATTTCCAGGTACCTGCACTTTGGCCTGACTTGACTGCAATGCTCTATTTACCATTAGTTTAGTATAAAGGGTAAAAATAAGGAGCCAGATGCAGAAGTACACAGGGAAAGATCTGGAAGAGGGCCAGCCCAAAGGACCTGTCCCTATGGACTTGGGATGTCCACCCTCCTGGAACATGCATGTTTACCCAATTGGGAACTCTCCTGTTTACAGCAAATAGCTCCCTCTCGGGGGGAAAACACTACATTCAAGTAAAATTCCAATAGAGGGAGATGAGTTTGACTTTCTCTACTTTGTGTTCACCAAATACTGACCTTGTTTGCCTGTCTTTTTAAAGGGAGAACCAGGTTTCATTGGTCCTCAAGGGGAACCAGGTTTACCGGGGTTACCAGGGACAAAAGTAAGTACACGTCTTTCTCCTGCCCTCCTTTCTGAACTGTGTTAAGATGTGGGGTAATGCTGTGGTTGAGGTGACCCAAATGCAGTGCCTTGCAGAGAACTAGTCTGCCCTTTAGCAACCCCTCCAAAAGGAAAGTTAATTCAAGAAAGCCTTAGGTGAGACACCAGGCTGGTGGTCTTGGCACTTCCAGTTGGCCTCTGGGTCCTCCTGAACTGTTCCCAGTGCTGGTAGCTGTCTGGCCACGTGGACGGCGGGGCGGTAGGAGAGACAGAGCTCACTCATCCTGCACTTGGCCACCCTCCTCAGGCTAGACTTACAAACCCAACACCTCGTTATTCCGGTCACCCTCCAACTTCAAAGGAAAGTACAGATGTCACATGGAGTCCCAAGTGCTTCTCTCCAAAAGGACCCGCCCTGAGTGCCATCTGCAGCGATGCTCTGTAATGAAAACCACCTCGTGAGATCATCTCCTTGGCAGCCCCAGCAAAGGCCTGGGGAGCACCCACTACACGCTGCCATGCAAAAAGACGTCACCCCAGAGTTCTCTTTTTATCTACCCAGGAAGACACAAAAAGGTGCATCTCACATGGTGGCCCTGGCTCACGAGAGGCTCGTGAATCAGACAAGGGACGAAATTCCATCCAACTGCATTCTCTTTTGTTCCTACCGTAGCAGGCTTTGCCCAGTGTGTACTGCATTCACCAGAAACGAGCCAGGGATGCTTTCCAAGAGTGGAAGAAATATGTTTGAGGTCTGTTTTGCCGGGACGGTCCTGATTTCCACTGGTCAAAGGAAAATAACTCTAATCTTAGTGAATGGAAACTATGCATGGCCTGAGGGGGGACTAACAGAGCGGGATTATGCAAAATTGTTGTTTTTCTTAAGACATTTCTTTTTTGCACATAACCAACTGTCAGGCTTATTAACAAAGGATGAAGGGTGCCTGTTTTAGCTTGGAGAGATTCACATGAGAAATACCTCTCTGGAAGAAAGAGAAAGAGAATAATGATCCTTCCCTGCTGATACGAGGAGCACTGCATTTCCTGTGGCTAGTCTTCTGGAAGAGCACGACATACTGAGCAGGGAATGCCACCTACAAACATTGGTGGCATTATGCTGTGACACAAGGGAAGAAGAAACCCAGGCAGGAGAGAGAGGAGTTCGTTCTTACGCATCTTCTCTTCCATCGACTAAACTGTTCAACAGTTTCAAACAGAAAGATGCAGGTGCAGACTCTTCTAACCAAAATTCATCTCTGTTATGAATGATGCTGCACAATGGTGCAGACTGAGTACCCCTTCAGCCTCCAATGAAAGAAAGTGGGTACCTGTTTGGTATTCCCACAGGCAGGATGCTGATAGGAAATTCATTTTATTAGCAATATTTTGAAGCTCATTGTCAGCTGAGTTACCTAATCATGTTCAGTATCATACGGGAAAAGTCATGATTACTTTAAAATCTCTTTGAACCCAAAAACATTATGGCTTTTCAGTTGCGTAGATGGTCTGGGTTAGTACTACATCTTCAGGCTTCAAAGAGTAAAGTAAGACTCTGCTGCCTACTGACAATGCAGGGAAGAGAAATCACAATGCAGAACACGGAAAATCTGTTGTTTGTACTGCTGTCATGAGTGCCTACCTCGGTGCCTGTTGGGGACCCATAACTGTCCAAGAGTGTGTTCATCAGAATTTTAGAATACTTTGAGCAATACTGTTTATTCCACACAAAAAATGTTTTGCCTGGTACTTTTCTGCACTTGAGAAAGGAAAGTAAAGGCGACAAAAGCAGCCTACCTTCCCGCGTGGGCGACAGTGGTGGAGACAAAAATGAACGAATAATTGATAGCATACCAGTCCGTGATAGGGGAAAGAACTGGGCCACTGCGATAAAAAGCAATTCTATGTAGAGATCTGCAGACTCCATTCCTGTGATAAACTGCAGATAATGGGATTTTTTAAGGTTTTCATTTTTCACTAAGTTTACATTGATTGGTTCAAGAATTATTCTGCAATTCTGAAAGCAAAATTTAAAAAAATAAAGAGTCATCCATACCAAGAGGAGTCCTTCAGTCTTGCTAGGGGCCAAGAAGAGAAAAGAGGAAGAGGCAGAGCAGTCGGACCATGAGCATCTTTTCAGCTTCTGCACCCAGCCCTCCAGGCCTCTCCATCTTCACCTCTTCCTCCCCATCTCCACCTGCTGCAGAGGACCCCCCTGTGTCTTTCCTAACCCTGTCCTCCGCCCACCTGCCCACTCACGGAACCATGGAGAAGGACCTTGGAACTCAAGCCCCATGTTGGCCCCCTACCGGGGGATCCAACGCTCTTCTTTATCCTTTGCAAGTTGAGCCCGGTGAGGACAGCCCTCTTCTCCATAACTGTGCCATCGCAATGAGATTCCACATCCATTGGATTCCTGAAATTCCTCCCATCCTATAGGAAGCCAAATGTTCTCCATTCTGTGTTTAAGGAGTGAAAAATGGAACTGTCTTCTTGGGAAGCTATTTGACAAGATCTTAAAATGTCCACATCAGTAGATCTGTCAGTTCTCCAGCTAGGAATTTCTCCTAAGAAAATGATCAGAGATGCATAAAAGACTTCAATAAGAAAATACGTACGCAACTAGTTTTAAAGAACAGCACTCCCACTTGAAAAGCTCTGTGCTTCTGGGGAGCTGCCTGAGCTCTTTGTGCTCCGGCTTTCTCATCTGTAGAGCATGGAAACAATACATTTTTGTCCTGAGAACTGAGATATTCTATACACTTCCTGCCGTCAGAAAGGGTGATAAAGTCCACCCTCCCCTCCCTTCAGGGTCCACCTCAGCCGTCCCACCCCAGGAGCCCGTCTCTGACATCCGCGCCCGTGGGATTCCTCTTGGCCCACTTGGCCCCATGTTACTACTTAGCCCTCAGCGCTCTGATTTGTGTGCTGCAGTCCGTCTAGCTGGGTATCTGGCTCCTTGAGAGCAGTAACATGTTTCAGCTTCACCTCTAGTGAAAGCTGAGCTACCTGCAGGGTGGATACACTGAACACCGTGTACCCAAGTTATGAAACTGGCACTTTCCTCTATTTCACTGAGTAAATAGAAGCTTACAGAACTTAACCAACTTGCCTCAAAATCAGAACTGATAAATTAGTAGAGCCAAGAATAAACTCTAGAGTGTCAGACTACAAAGCCTAGAATTTAACTTTGTCAGACTTCTTGATCTCATACTTTAAAAGTGATGGAGAGGAGAACAGACGTCTATTCTTGTCTCGAGACAGAACGAGAGCCCTCAGCCCTTCCCTTTAGAGGTCCTGCCATTGACTAGCACAGCTGTCAGACAGGTGTCATCAAACCCTTCCTCGTGTATAAAATGGGGATAATACTGAAAACATTGTGCGACTGTAGTAGAGTTCTCCAGACAGAAACCATAGGATGGAGGGATGGATGGACAGACAGACAGACAGATGGAGATGTTTCAGGGGAATTGACTCGTGTGATTATGGAGGCTGAGGAGTCCAGTGATCTGCCATCTCCAGGCTGGGAAGAGACCAGTGGTGTCTCAGTTCAAGTCCAAAGGCTCCAGAAACGGGGGAGTTGATGGTGAACTCTTGGCGCAAGGTCAAAGCCTGAAGTGCAGGGGTCACTGGCACAAGACCTGCAGTCCGAAGGCAAAAGAATCTCAAGTTTTGAGGCCAGAAGCAAGAGAGCACCTGCTGGTCGTCCACCCTTTTGTCCCATCCAGCCTCTGGCCAGAGGAGCGACAGCTCCCCATTGAGGGTGCGTCTTCTCCACTCAGCCCGAAGCCTCACGCCAGTCTCCTCTGGAGACATCTTCACAGACACACCGAGAAATAATCCCTTCCTCCTGCCCCTAATCCAGGCAGGGTGGCGCCAGAAATGAACCATCGCAATGTTCTGATTACTCCCGAGATCCTTCCTGTTAAGGGATGAATACAGGGCGGGGCACGTAGGAAATAAATGGTGACTCTGCTTGCTTTGGTTTTGTTCAACTCATATAATATTTCATCTGCAGGGCCCGGCCTGGGTGGGTTGCCTCTAACCTGTTCTGTACTCCATGCCAGGGTGAACGTGGGGAGGCAGGGCCACCAGGAAGAGGGGAGAGAGGGGAGCCTGGAGCCCCTGGATCAAAGGTCAGTATTCTCATGTGGAAGAGATGCGTCCTTTGGTTTGGAAGCAGATGCCACTTGCCTTACATTAGAAGACAAAGCTAATCCCTCAACAGCCCAAGTCACCAGCAGCTTGCTGACATGCACACCCATCAGTCCATTTCCAAAAGGAATTTTACAATCCCAGCACTCGGGAGGCAGAGGCAGGAGGATCACTGCAAGTTCAAGGCCAGCCTGAGACAGGCAGACCGTGTCTCATAAAAGGGAAGGGGTTTGTAAATCAGCTTCCCCCACGCCTTCTGCTCTGTTTGGTGAACACATTTAATAACATATCCAAGATAAAGGGGGAAGCACTATCGTATTAACCCCTTACCACTAGCTGTGTATTAAACCCCACTAAGAAAAATGTGGTGAATGCTCTGTGGGTTTCTATGGTAACTTGATGGCATATTACACCTTGAAAATATTAGAGCTGAAGATTTATTTGTTCAGTTTTTATTCCTCTAACCTTCCTGCAAACTAATCTGGTGACACTTTATTTTAATAACTCCTCCTTGAAACCTGGGAAACAGTTTTCTCTGTGATGAAAATGCAATTTATGCAGACAAGGACTGTTGAGACTAATAAGATTCATTCACAGAACTCTTCCGACCAAGATGGGAGTGCAGTTGTCAGCATAGTCAGGGCGCATGGGGTGGTGGGGAGACGGGCCGTGAGCTAACAGTACAGGGACGAGATATGCACTCACCCAGCATCACAGCAGCCATGTCTTGGGGTTGTTAAAATAAAGTGTTTCCATGTTTCCTCCTTGTTCTGAGTCACTGCTGATTCCTTTCTCTTACCTCCTCTGACATTTTCTCTTTGTCATCTTCCTGCTCTGCTATAATAGGGAAAACAAGGTGAACCAGGAGCCAGAGGCCCAAAGGGGTCAAAGGTCAGTAGCTTGGTAACCATTTGGATGCCACAGGGGAACCTGGACATCAGTGCTCTCTGCCTTTCCGAAGAGAATCCTGTCTTAGGTTAACCTCTCCCACACAGGGACCGTAGCCATGTGTTCCCTGTGATAGCATGATAAAACAATTAGTTTGTGTGTTCTTATATTTCACACTGTTCTTTATTTTTAAGAGAATAAAAACAAATAAAATAAAACAGAATAAAACCAATCAAAACAAAACAGTGAAAGGGATACAGAACTTCAGAACAAGATCATAGGACACCAGCAATGGTTGCCATAAGGCCTCTTGGATTATTCTTTAAGAGAGATTGTATTTCTTGTTTCATGAAAATAGCTTCTTTGGGAAAAAACAATTTAACTAATTTAAATTACATATTGTATAATCTTATTTTTTATTTCCTGCCTATCTTTGTGATAAACATTCAAATTACACTTTCTTTTTTAGTTATTCAACTCCCTTTATCACATTAAAATTCCACCAACTGAAACTAGTCCTTTTATCCTCTCTGCAAGAACTTACTGTTAGGATAATTGTGGTTTTTTACAAAATAGCACTAGCTGATAACATAAAAATGGGTACTAAATGAAGGAAACAGATTGAAGATAATTCTCCACAGCAAATTTAATTATAGTCATTGCTATTAGCATAGTATGGCTAGGAAAATTATAATCCTATTTCTTGTTTATTAATGTTGATCTTTACTCATTTTAAAGAAATCCATAGAAAGTCTAAAAAAATGCTTCGAATTCCATTTCTGAAAAGGTCTATGTAAACTGAAGCAATTTTTAAAAACAACAGACTCTATACTAGTCCAAATCTGTTCTCTAAACTATCAGCCAGACTTCTGAGAATTTTGACAGCATTGATTATTCTGGTGTTTGATGGAAGGTTATTCCTAGTGTTGTCACAGGATGGGTGATGACATCATAAATAAAACCAGAGATGTTGCCTTGAAAAAGAGCGTGTTGCCCTGCCCCCCCCCCCCAGTACCGAAGTCCTAAACCTACAGCTCAGCTCCTCCCAGCTCTCGCCATTGCAAGCAGCCTAGCCTGGGCCCCTCCTCCGTCATTCTCCCCAGAATGAACTCTCTCTCTCCTATCGAGGTTATGTAGACTCTTCTTCCCTGAGCACAAACACAGTTGCTTGGTCTTTTTCTTCTTTGTCCTAAATCACTTCAAATACAAGGCGTTGGTTCAGTCTGAAAGGTGAAAGGTTTCGTGTGGGTGCCTTAGAAACTGGAAATCTCTGGCTTTACTTTTGCAAACCCCACCGAGTGAGAGTTACAGGTAGACAGGACTCTTGTTCCAGACACCCTCTTATCCAAAAAGGGAACTGTAACTCCCTGCAGGCTGCATCTTAAAGACGCCTATGCAGGGCTGGTAATAGTTGCCGTTGTTTTTCTGCTTGAGAAGTTCATACTAAAAGTGGTGCTGCATGTTATAAATATGTCCTTAGGCTTGAGAGAGTTGTAGACCATTGGCCATACTACTAATTGAAATATTCTTTCTTTCTTTCCTATTGGGAAAGGGTGATCGTGGAGACAAAGGGGATGCTGGAGCTCTGGGACTGAGGGTGAGTGTACCTGCCACCTAAACTTTCAGCCCTTTCAAATCCAGATTTGAAATAGTGTCCGTGTAACTTTTGAGAGACACCCGTGGTAAGAATGCATTGGAGCAGGGCTGCTGGAATTATTCCATTGCCTTCCCCTTTTCTCTTTTTTGTTCTCCAGGGGTAGTGCATGTGTGCATGTGGTGTCTGTGTTGGTTACTTTTCTCTCATTACTGAGACAAGATATTTGATGCCCAAAGTGAAGGAAGGAAAGCTTTATTTAGCTTAGTTTTTGGAGGTTTCAGTCCACGCTCAGCTGGCTCCAAGGCAGAGTGCCACGGCTAAGGGGCCGCCCTTCGTGGTGGCTGCAAGCCAGAAGAGTTGAAAAGGGCAAAAAGGGAAAGTCATGCCTCCTTCTTTGCCCTTATATTGCATGCCGGCTCCTGCCCCTCACTGGTGCAGCACTCACACCACCAGTCTCAGTGCTAGACAACAAACCAATCATAGACACTAGACTCGGTGCCCTCAAAAGGCCCCCCCATGACTACATGAGGCTTTGGGGGGACATCCAAACACAAACCATAACAGAGGCTAACATAAAATAAGTTTTATCAAGAAGGGTAAAAATCTTCATGTCCACTTTCCCTCTATTAAATGAGAAATAGCAAAACCACAGCCATTTACCCAACAGAATTTTCCACTTTTTCACTTAAGACAATTACAGCATAAAAAGAGATACTGCCCATATGTTTAGAGCTTTTATAAGGCAAGGAATTAGGACATGACTAATGGAAGTTATATAGCATATATAATGAATAGAAGTCTAGAATGTATTTATGTTGTTTATTGAAGTTACAAAGTATATCATACATTGTCTTTTTTCTTATTTGCTTTCATTTTATGGGATTCTGTTCTCCCTGGGAAAATCACCTATTTCCTTTGGAAAATTACTCTATCTTCTTAAGGAATGAGGAAATAATCCACAAGATCTAAACAAGTAGAAAAATGTTTGCATTGCCTTAATAAGCACAAGTAAACCCGATAGAATTTTGTAATACATATCAAGTCTATATTTTATAGTTTCCAGAAAACACTTTCAGAGATTAAACCTTTTGTGCTTTTAAAAATCAGATGTCCTGCATTCAACCTACCATAGACAGGAAGTCAGAAGTGATTTCCCTTCTTGGAAAAATGGGAAAATTGTGAACTCGATAATCTGGAGGCGCAGCTGGGTCTTGGGAAGGGAGTGAAGGACAGAGAGAGCTGGACATCGCTGCTCTTGTTCCTGCCTTGGGCTCTGATGTCCTCGCCTGACCCATAACTTTTCCCTGCTTTGTTTTGATTGTAGGGTCCACCAGGGCAAAAAGGCGATCCAGGAGCCACAGAGATCATAGACTACAATGGCAACCTCCACGAAGCCTTACAGGTACGTGGCTGTCCCCACCCCGAGGCAGGCTGAGAATGACACTGATGGCCTGGAGGCGATGGTCAGTCTGATCTCACAGCAAGCAGGTCACTGCCCAAAGCCCACCCAATCTCTGCTCCAGTAATCTTTATTTGCTAGGGTTTGGGGCTTTTTGTTTTTTGCAGTAATGGGGCTTGAACCCAGGACTTCACACACGCTGGGCAAACGCTGTCTGAACTATTCCCAACAGCCCTTTTCGAATGGAATGGCCAACTGGTGATCCCCCTACCTCTGCCTCCCAAGTATCTAGGACTATAGGCATGTTCCATGGTACCCCGTTTGTGATGTCTTTTCTTCCCATGCCACCTTCCAGTGTTCCTAAGCACCATCAAGTCTAAACCGTGTTAGTCTGACCAAATTCTTCCCTCTTTTCAGAATCCAGAAAGCAACTAAGAACCCTGTACTGTAGCAAAAGAGCTTCTTGGGTTCAAATCCCAGTTTGTTTGTTTACTCAACCTAGGGCAAGTTGTGACATAGGGCAAGTTATCTCATCTCCGTGTGCCTGTTTCCCCCGCTGTGAAATGAAGATGAAGATGATAGCAGCATCGGTTCATAGGCCAAATATTGCTCCTTACAATAGAGCTTGGCGTACACTGTGCCCTACCATTCAATTCTTTCCCTTCCGGGAAGTAACAGGGGGGCTCTGTGGCTTGTCTCCACACTGCTGCTTCCCGTTCATCCCTCCCTGCATTCAGGTCTCTCTCACCATTGCCTTTGCAAACTCCTTCCAAAGGTCAGTGACACCCCTAGGTAGAGCCCAGTGTACACATCGTTTGACTTTTGGGTGACATTTACACCAAGCCACGTTCCTTTTGAAACTCTTCCCTTTTTTGAGCTCGTATGTTCATTTCTTCTATTTTTCTCCTCTAATGGAGCCGTCCTAGTTTGGTATAGCCAACGTCCCTGTCCATCTCCAGACTTTTGGTATCCAGAAGTCTCTGATGTGTTCTTAGCGTGATCGCCCCCTCTGTGTGCTTCCACGCCTGCTGCTCAGCTCTTTCATTCATGGACCAACTCTGAGTGGGCACTGCAGCCGTCTAACGGTGCTTCCATTGCAGATACACCATGCCTGCTGGCGTCCACCAGTGCTCACAGGTGTGCTGGTTACTCCTCCCCTCACTACCAAGTGTTTCCTTAATTAACAGTCACTATTCATAGTGCATTTCTCAGGGTTAGAAGCGTTAGCTATTCAAACTATTCCCAGTGTCCATTTCTTCTCATTGGGTACTGGTTTTTTTTTTTTTTTTTTTTTTTCAAAATATTTCTTGATGCTGCCCTTTCTCCATTCCTAATAAGGTCCTAATAAGGACCGTTTCTGATTTTCTTCATTCCTTGCACGGTATCAACCCCAGGGCCAGTTCCTCTTCCCTTCTTATGCTCCTGCCCTTCCTGGGCATCACTCCAATGCTGGTATCTATAAATTGCATTACTTCAAATGCTGATTTGCTCAGAAACACAAAGGAGGCCCTGTTGCCTACTCTCTCAAGCCAGAAACCCCTCCATCTGGTATTTAAGGGCGTGTAGTTCTTCCCTTGTGCAGAATGTTTTGTTTCTCCACAATAGTTTTCCCTGGCTTAGTCATTCTTACCGTCTATGAATCTTTTGGGGGGCCCTGGATTCACATCATTCTTTTTTCCTTTCTGTTCATCTAAATACTGTCCTAAAATCTACCACCACCACTCGGTGGGTTCCTCCTCGCAATCCCTTCTAACATGTGTAGTCAGGGCCCAGCAGGTAAACATTTAATTGCTCTCAAGTCACATGATGGGTTTTAGGTTTCCTTACTAGATTGCAAGTTTCCTGGTGACTGAAAACATGCTATGCTTACGCTGCCTGGGCGTGTAAATATGCCTTCAACAGTTAAGGGGTGGATGAGTGAATACAGCCATTTTTATTACAACCATTGCTTAGCTGTCATGCCAAGCTGATTGTTTTAAATACTTTCTGAGTTGTGTGCTTGTGTGAAGTATTTTTCCATCCTCATGATTTCATCAATGTGATCTAACTGTGTTGCATCTATAACTCTGTGGGTCGTTGGCTACAATCACCATTTTTCACTACTAATGTATCTATTACTGGTTTGTGCAAACTATGTCTTCCGTTCAGCCCACTTTTCAATCTCCCCATTTTTTCTTCCCTGCAAAGAATGCAAAGAGAAAAGCATGTTTCCCGCCTGGGGAGAGGCTTGAAAGGGCCAGTTCAGCCAGCAGTTTGAATCCGAGTCCGTCAACATGAGGAGTATAGTACAGGCAGTAGACTCCGGGTTAATGTCCCGTTCTAGACTCAGTTTCCTAAATTGTTCACTTTTTCTACAAGGCAGTACTGCATATGGAGGAAGAGACAAAGAACACCAAGTTTAGTGCACCTGCCGGGCTCCCAAAGCTCTTCCTTGCACAGTAAAATAGGGGCCCTGTTTAAAACTTGACTTACTTCAATGGCACTACAATTCCTGCATCCATCTTTAAGGAGTCCGCTTCCTTATCTTCCAAGAATGTTCCCATCTTCCTGGCCACTTTCTGCAAAACTGTGCAAGAGTTTTGAAAGCATTCTTTGAACACGGTCTGGCATTTGGCCTCTCCTTGGTCTGACAAGGAAATTTGTGTTCCAATCTTTCTTCCACTACTGCCGTACCTAGTGGGGTCATTTCAGGGGAGCCACAGCCTCTGGGCTCCATTGATCTCCTCTGAAAACTGAAGATGTCAACAGAATAGATGTTTTTCTAAGAGTCTATGGAATATATTATTATTAGGGTTGTTGTTAGGAGCTGCTGAATGCTTTTCCACTGGTATGCACAAAAGCACTTTGAAGGATACATGCTTTCAATTTCTTTTTCTCCATTTCTAGGTCACATGCTGGTCAATATCCATAATTTTCACCCATTTCCTGCTTACACCAACCCAAGGGTATTTTATCCTTACAGAACCATGCAGACAACCATACGATATGCTTGTAAATAGCTTATATTTTTTTTTCACTTCAAAACTATTTACTGGTTTTCCTCACATAGTACTCTAGTGGATAAGATATCAATTCAGTTAGACAGCCATTAGACTGAGAAGAGAGGGAGGATATTTATTCTTATTTTCCAACTAGTGGTGGATATTTACAGTTTTGTAGATTTTATTTCATTATTAGCTCCTATAAAAAGGTTTGCCAGCAAATCTAAGACAATTAGATAAATAGCATATTACAGTTCTAGCAGTATAGTGTATTTAAAAGTAAAATTTTGTATTATCTGTTGGAAATTGTGATTCTGTAAAATATTTTAGTCTATGAAAAAGTATTATGAATAATATAAATAACTTCTGTGACCTAATGTTCACCATAAGTGATAAAACACTGTCTTATACAGTTGAAGTACCATGTACACTGTATCCTTGTGGTATTTGCTGTTCTGAATTTGGCATTTGTAATTCTCAGGCACTTATTTGTAGCTAGTTGAAAAAATCAAAACCCATATAACAAACTGCTTGTCGAGTCACTTTCAACTGGAATGGAAATCATGAAGTCAAAAAACCTGAGCCTTCTCATCACTTCTCTCTTCAACAGCAGGGAAACATCTCATTGCTTCCCTCTGCTCTAGCCCAGCTTCTGTCACCTCCCCGTACTGCTCCAAGTGCCTTTTGACGGCGTTTTACCTGTCTTCCTAGGAGTGCACTTGTCTGAATATCCTTCCCTATCCCTGTCAATGTTTTACAAATTATTATTTTCCATCCATCCTATTAGACTATTAAACTCCATTGATGTGCAGATATAAAATTGTTGTTTATATAAATATCCCTTTAAGCTACAGTATTTATTGAAGGTGGTTACATTTCAACAATCAGCAGCAAAACTTTGTGTGTTCCATTTCAAGCTATTAAAAATTCTCACCACTGTCTGAATTAACCCTGCTGTTGCATAGAAATCATGAGTGATTGCTAAGCTTGCATTACGACAAAAACTAAAGGGGAATAACTTGGATTTTAAGGGGACTCAGAGATATAACCCAGGTAATGAATCTCCAGGCACCCTGCGAGGCTTCCCCCAGGTATGGAGGCTCTAGCTCAGCTCGCCCTCCTCACATCTGTCACCAGAGAATCTTCTTCATCACTACCAGAAATTCTGGTTTTCAGATCATTACTGGAGTGCGAGGAAGAACCCTGCTGGGTTTGTGTAGCTTTTATTTAGAGAAGCTGCATACAAGAAGCCCAAAGCAACACGGCTTTGGGATTCCCTAGTGTGTGTGCTCACTGGTACAGCCCAACAGCGATCAAAAGGGTGTGTGTGAAGTTCCTCGACTGTGCTGTTCTGTGTTCTTCATGAGCTAAAGAGAACCCTGTGCACTGTCAGCTACCACAGACATGGTCTGCAAAGTCTTTTAAACCCCACGCATTAGTTCACTTACCATTAATAACACTGTTTTTTCTATGAAACACATTATTAGCCTTAAAGTTTTTAAAAAGAGAAATCAAACTTGTGTTCTTTTAGCTGGGAATACAAGCTAAACAAGCTCACATATGGAACACCCACACTGAAAATCTGAGAGTTCAAATTGTAAAGTTGCTTGCCTTTACAGGATTTTGTGATTCAGCTTTCTGGTTAAAAATGCAATGCGTAATTGGCCCAGGCAATGATAAAGGAACTATAATTTTCTAATAATTTTAAATGACTCATCTATACCCTAGAGACAAAGGAACAGCTTTTTCATAACTATGAGGTATGATCAAGAAAAGTGGTTAATTTTTTTTAAGTTTTTAATTCATTACAATTTTTAAAGATTACCCCTCATCCACCTTGGAGGACACCCTCACTTTGAGCACACCCCACTGTTCTCACCACTTTCTGCAGCAGTTCTGGGGTCCTCTTTCACTGACCACCCTTAGTTACGCTGTCCTGGCTGCCTCGATGTCGTGAATGAATGCAAAGCTTTGCTCTTTCCTGATCGTTTTGACTTTGGTGAAGTCGCACGGTCTTAGATCTGGTGATGAGGAGGACCCGCTTGGTGTTCTCACCAGCCTGCCTTTCCACTGGATGCACTGGGCGGTGCTGGACAGTGGTGTTCACCGCATTTTGAATCACACCTGGTAGAGACACAGAAGAGAACGTCCAGAGCTGCTGCAGAAGGTGCTAAGAATGACTGGCTAAGTGTCTTTGAAGCAAAGGAAATTTATGACAATATGTGTTTATACTGTAAAAAATTTTTAATTAAAAAATTAAACAGAAACACTCCAATTCCTTCTCTAGGAAACTGCTTTAAGAATAACTCACAAATTAGCCGGGCATGGTGGCTCACACCTGTAATCTCAGCACTCAGAAGGCTGAGGCAGAGGATTGTTGTGAGTTCAAGACCAGCCTAAGCTAACAAAGTGAACTCAAGGACAGCCTGAACTGCATAGTGAGACCCTGTCTCGAAAAGACAAAAACAAGCAAACAAGAATAACTCACAAATATAAAATTCTGTCTCCTTATTTCATGCATACATACATAGATCAGTATTTAAATTTGCTTTGTACCTTTGTCATGCACTCAGTTATTTTTCTCCTACTGTTTTCTCTAAAGCTATGTATGTTAGCCATTTCTGATTTTGTTACAGAAGACAAACTTTAACCGTTTACACACATACATAACATTGTTTTCTAAGGAATGACAGTACCCTATCACTAAAGACAGAAGTGTTTGAAGTCACAGAAAATGTTAGAAGTACCTTTTACAACAATAACAAAAACAACAGCAGCAGTTTGAATCAGAATCAGACTCTGTCTGGAGACAGTCATGGAATGCAAGGGACGTGTTAGGCTGATGTCTGCAAGTTTACATGTGATTGCATAACGTCTCCCTATGACCAGATCCTTAATGGGAAATGTTCTCTCCTCTATGGTGTCATAAAGTTATTGACATAAGATCTAAACTAGAAATTATTAATACAGAAACATGATTCATGGGTTGGGAATCATGCTTTACACATTCATACTTTGAGAGAGAGCATTTTGGTTAAAGTAGCATAGCACGTTAAGAAACTGGCTTAATTCAATGTCAGTTCATTTTAGCACACATACAAAAGAGGTGAGCTATAATGTAGCAAGCAAGTCTAAGGAAAGATGAAAGTACATGCAACTGGATATTTTCATTTTCTCTAATCAGAGTGCCATATACAATAGCTTTCATCAATAGCAAATTTCTCAGTTTATAGTTATACCAACAAATCTCCAGTTCATACAACTTTACCACATAATTTTTAATCAGGTAATTTAAAATTTTGCTATTTTTCTCACCCATCGAGATGAGGAAAAAACCAATTCTAGAGGTAACCTAAAAAGTCTGAAGATAACTGTGAATAAAAATCTAGAAATAATTTTAAAATCATGTTTACTGAATAGAAGATAGAGAAAATGTCCTCGGCATCTTTTCAGTTCCTTAGAAGGCATCAGACTTAACAAAACATATTCAAAAGTCAATTTTTTTCAGAAATGTATGATTGTGCGTTGGCAGACAAAATAGATAACTGTTTGTCCATCCATTTTCCCAACAGAGGATTACCACCTTAACTGTCACGGTAACTCCTATTGCATGGTTTCTGTGGCTTGTGACTTTGTATTTAGTGTCGATGCATGCAGGCTGCAATGATACTAATGTACAATTGTTTTTACCTGATATTAAATATTTCCTTGTAATAATAACCCTTTACGGCACTTGCCTTAGTTGAATCACTTTGTTTGATGAAAAGATCAAGAAAAAAGTTACTTTTCATTTTCCTTAGACGTTTTTGGCCTTCACATAGTAATATTACTTTGTTCTTTGGGATTTGGGGAATCAAAGGCTGCAGGGTAGAGGAGTGAGATGAGTGTCTAGAAACACAGGGACTGTTAGGAGGCTGACCCATCCTGAGAGATGTGTGAGGGGCGGGGTCCCAGTGGCAAGCTGGCTCATAGAACCAATACGAAGCATCTTCAGTAATATTTTGGCATAAGGTGTGTTGCTATTTTAGCATATAAGTGTGTAGCTTTCATGATTATATGGCCTGTGAAATGTTTCCCCTTTACATGACAGTAATGGGAGACATCTGTCTATGACAGACATGTGGGAGGTGTGCAGTGTGCTTATCGTGTAAAGCATGAACTTTGATATGCATGCTTTGTTCCTTTTATAATTATTGCTTTTTTAATTTAGGGTCCCCCTGGGCCTCCCGGACCTCAAGGACTACAAGGACCAAAGGTTATTCTTTGTTTATTTGTTTCTCTGCTGTCACATACAATGCAAGGAAGCCCACAGTATTAAGTATCTGTGTCTTTAATCAGCCCAAAAAGAATGCTAGAAAACCCAAATCAGTTATAGAGCTGGGGAGAAGGAAGAAAAGAAATTGAGCTAAAAGAAGAGGGATACTAGAAAGAAAGACTAGGAGTCAAGGCAGAGAAATGGGAATTAAATTTAGGAAAGGACATTGGAAAAAACAGAAAACATTAAACAAGAGAAAAACAGATTCAACAGAAATCATAAGTAAAAAAGCACTAACTGTGGACTATGAAAAAGACATGTTTTCGGTTGAAAAGGATTAAATGAGATTTACTTTGACACTCAGAAAGATCCTTCCAGATTTTTTGTAATAAAAAGAACATTTCATGCCTGAAATATTCATCAATGACAATTTTAGGAATTGCTTTTGAGTATTATTTTATAACACATTCTTTTATTATCTATGGTCAGACGTTCTGCCACTTAATTCTTAGGTAATGAAACATACCAACTACCAAGAGCAAAAAGCTAGAATTCCTTGATTATAAATGAATCCTGTTGATGGTTTTCACTTTACCCCTCCAAACCGAGTTTTAGTCATTCAACCATGCTTGATCAATTAACACATAGCCAGAGAAGCTCACTTTTCAGAACTGAGCTACACGTGTTGAAATATGACTTTCGTCATTGGATTCTTGTAGGAGATTCAACTGGTTTCAAAACTCTGTCTTTTGTTTATGGCATGTAAGGCAGTTTATTTGCGAAGCCTGTCCTGCACACAGACACACATCAGCTTTTGTTTCTTTCTGTTCTGAGATGCTTACAAATCTAGTGTACAGAAAAATTGGTGTTTCTGATAAAGGAATATAAAATACAATCTTCCCAAGATCCTTTGCAATGTGAAAAGTAATCTGCAAACAGATTTCATGTGAAACATTAACAGAATTTGTAGGATTTTAACTTTCTATTTCTGCACCCTAATCTCACCCAGAGAGATGTAATACAAACTATGCTGTGGCCACAAGAGTTTCTGTGTCCGAGGAGCAAGTGGGCCTGGACCCCTGTTCTTTTCCAGGCTGCTTTGTGGAGCATTAATCAGGGACTAAGTTCTCTGCTTCACCACCTAGCTTGACCAAAGAACAAGAAAGCCAAACATGCCCCCCATTTTGCACAACACCTCAAACCTTTTCTCTGTAGCCCCTAGGCCTTCAGAAGCCCAAAGAGGCACAAAAGCACAAGATAGCTGGACTAGGACTTACTGCCCAAGTAGTAGTCCACTATTAATTCAGTTATTCAATAAGTAATTTTTGATCCTCTGCTCTGACAAGGGATAAACTCTAGCAAGGGACCAATAAATGGGTTCACCAAAGAGCTCTCAGCCCAGGGTCGGGGGACAGCTGTGAATGAAGAGCTTCCATTGAGAGCGCAGGCATGGATCACATGGGAAGCCTGGAGTTCAGAACGGCTTTGCAGTGATGTGGGGAGGAGGCCAGCTGAATGTCTGGATGGTGGCAACAGGAAGAGCTGGTCCTCTCCCTCCTCCTGCCCTGCCACCCACCCCACAGTGGGCTCAGAACTGAGCTCCCGTGTTCATGGACACAGCCCGTCCTACGCTGCCTGGTGTGTCCTTGAGGAAGTTCAGATACTTTGGGTAAGACATGGCTGTGACCACGAAACAGATGTAGCTCAAGGGTCCAGCACATCCTCTGTGGTCTCCGTCTCAGAAAGGGAAGCTGTTCAATTGACATTTCTCCCTCCTTTGTCAAACAAGGACTGTTTGATTTCTTATACATCAGATAAGTCTCGCAAACCATATCGAGGCTGAAGGGTGAATATTAGTGTAGGTGTGAACTGTGCTGGTCCTTTGAGCATCCGTGTTCACACTGTAAAGCTAGAAGCCTTGCAGAGAAATCTTGCCTGGCCCCCAGTACGGACAGATATTCAGTCAGAATGGAGAGAGGGCCTAGCCGGGTGTGCCCAGCGTCAGCGGACTTGTGTGCAGTAAAATGTTCACTGCTACCACAGAGAACAGGCAATCCACAATGAGAACAACCCCACTCCTTCATGTCATTTGTTTACAACAACAAGATCACGCCTTAAATACTGGAAAGCTTAAATTTCATATCATGGCCCACAGTTCTTAAGATGCTTTATTAGGGAACTCTGTTTCAATGCTGTGTTTATAACATCACCTAGAAGCTATTCTAGAAAACCCAGCTCTAGGGGCTAGGGATTTAGCTCAGCGGCATAAGCACATGCCTTGCAAGCAGGCAGTCATGAGTTCAATCCCTGGTACCGATAAAAAGGAAAAAGACAAAAAAAAAAAAAAAACAGGTGACTATATATGTGTTGTTTGAATAATCTCTAACATATTGTTTAAATTTGTTTTTAATGAAACATCTTTTAAAAAAACTAAGATGTTTTGAGTCTGTCAAAGATCCAATAAATCATAATGGACACAATAAATTTTATTTCCATTCCTAGCATAGAATAGGAAATTGAATTGATCAAAAGAAATTTTTGTGGATTAAGATATTATCTGATTTATTATATCCTTCAGTGAGGTTTTTCTGGACATAGTACACTCACAATCATTATGAATTTGTTCAAACTGTGCCAGTTAAAATATTGCTATAAATTGCCGGGGCCTTGCATTTCATTCTTAGTTTACATTTTACTAAAAATAAGAAAAATACAGATTTCCTATGGAGAAAAAAGTAACTAACTTGAGTCCACAGGCATTCCTATGGGATATGGTCAGCCATGAAATTCTTTTTATCAGCTTTCTTTTACCATTTCTTTAGCCTACAGCTCACACAGAGGAAAAAGTTAAAAGGCCTGAATCTTGGTTGCTTGTAAGTCTTATCACACATAATCACCAAGGAGGATGATCCCAATTAATGAGGATGGGTTGGTCCTATAGGAGTATTCTGGGGCATTTGTTAAAACTCAAATTGTACCTTTAACCAATTAGCATCATTTTTTCTTTAGTACATTATGGTAGCAATAGTAAATGGAAACAAGCTATTGTTTGTATTTTAACAGGGTGAGCCGGGATCTCCAGGAATCCCAGGAGCTGATGGAGAGCAGGTAATTTCCAAGCCATTATTTCATTCCATGTTTGAAGCCAAAAAGTCATACATGGATATTGATCCCTCATATCCTCTTTCTTTCCCACCATCCATTCTAGAAGCCACATGAGCTCAACAAAGCAGTTGGTTTTAAATTAGACTTTAGTTTTTATTTTCAGAAATATAAATGATGAGGTTGATTCTCAGTATCTTCCACCAATCTACTAGTGACATCACCAACTTAGTAACAGCCTGACTTCTGGCAGTACAAATGATTCAAGACTGCAGTTAGTGACCCACATTACTGAAAAATAAGTTACTGTTAATAAGTATTTTTGACAACTTTTTTTTCCCAAGTAGGGGTCATAATTTCCTAGATCCTCAGAAAAGACAGAGGCAAGAAGAGCCCTTGGGGAGTACAACAGAGTGTGACAGGGGTCCCCTAAAGCAGAGGCTCATATGCTTGCTCTAAAAAGAGTCTGAAAATAAATATCTTGGGCTTACAGGCTCCATATTATCTCTTCACATGTTCCCTTTTAACACTTCTTAGAAATTCTGGCAGCACAGAGACAGTCCGTAGGCTGCTATGGGACAGGTTCTATAGTCTGGGCAACTTCTTCCTTTTAAGAGGATGTGGATCACATTCAGAATCAAATCAGAAGGGTTAATTGAAAGGTGTTTAATGTTTTCTGAGCTTCCATTATTTATGCAAGAAATGTCTAAAAATCTCAGAAATGATAAGAAATCAAGGAAGCTCCTCCTCCCCACCTCAGAACTGGGAAATGAATTCAGAGCCCTTCACACTGAGCTACGTCCCTAGCCCTTATGTTTTATTTTGAGACAGACTCTTACCAAGTTGCGCAGGCTGGCTTGAACTTCTATCTGTCTGTGCCTCAGCCTCCGGGGTGCTGCTATTATAGACTTGTGTCACCAGGCCTGGCTGCAAGGAAGAGACCAGTGAACATGCATTCCTCAGGATGAGATTAAGGCTATGGGAAATGTTATTGTTAAGATCAGAGTTGTATGTTAAAGTCACAGACACACTAACGAAACATGGTAAAACAGAAAAGCAGTTGATCAATGGGACATCATCTTTGGATTTAAAACTCTGGCTGCGTGACGTGTCCCACTATCACTATAAATAAGTTTACAGGTGGAATGATATGCTTCATGGCCTCACGTATACAGTAGTTGAATTTTTTTCTCCGAGCTTTGTTTCCTTGTGTTGGCCAAGTGGCCAGTCTCCATCACTAAATAGATCTGATTAGCAAGCAAGACTCCCCCATCGATTCGAGCACCAGTCCGCTCCCCAACCACTGCATGATTCTGAACTAGGTGATTGAGATAGGCGCAGTTCATAAGGAGAGATGTGTCCTGTCCCTGAAACCAGTAGGTTCATGCAGCCTAGAGGCCCTGTAGCATGCTGAGCACGGCTGCCTTCTCTGCAGGCCTGGCTAGCTGGTCAGACTGACTGGAATCCCTGCAATGAAAGGGCTTATTAGTAATAAAAATTAATGGCAGCAGTCACGTTAGGCAATTCAGAATTGTTAACCCTCCAAATGCACATTTATCTGTTTCCTCACTGTAAAAGAAGAAAAATAGCAGTCTGGCTGGCCTCAAGGAGATGTCAAAACAGGAACGCCACGGAAAAGTCGAAGTGTTCTTAAGCATCGTTGAGCGCTAGTGTACAGTAAATGATTTACCTGTCTGGACCCTGGACCATTAAAAACTGATGGCTGGGATTCTGAGTGTGGTTAGAGGAGGAGAAAAAGTGGCTAGAAATGGGAGGACTTCATCGTAACACTAGATTCTCATCCACCTTGTACACTGTGCTGCTAGAATGAGAGCCACCAAATGATTTCAGGACTGGTAGGATGGAGTTAGCTGCCGGTAAAATATGTGAAATCAGGGAAGTGACATCAAGTGCCAAGTTTATGTTTTTCATATTTGAATGGCTTAGGAGAAATTGAATCCCTTCCCCCGACGTGGGGAGACGGCATTGATTAGCTGCAGGTTTTCCTAAGAAACGACTCCACCTAAACATGAGAGCGGCCCTCCTGGTGTCTGCTTTACCTGTTGACAAAATCGATTCTCTTCACCCTGACAGGATGTACCTGTCAGGAGTCACTGTGCTTCTTACGTTCAAACCTTGTCCTTTGTAGGGACTCAAAGGCTCAAAGGGTGACCTGGGAGACCCAGGAATACCAGGTGAAAAAGGAGGAATTGGACTTCCTGGATTACCGGTAGGTTTTTACTTCTTAGGATGTGTTCTTTTTAACCAAAGTAAAACTACATAAGAATTATTAACTAAGCGGGGTACAGTGGTGCACAGCTGTAATCCCAGTACTTGGGAGACAGAAGCAGGAGGATCATTGCAAATGCAGGACCAGCCTGGGCTTCAAAGTGAGCTGAAGACCAGCCTGAACTGCATAGCGAGACCTGTCTCAAAAAGATAGTATGTTACATGTGTCTGTGTATGTATGTATGTATATGTATATTTCACTGAAATCTCAGTGATTCCTACAGTATTTTTATTTTTAACCATTTGAAGTCTTATTCATTAGTTACTCCATCAAGGGAACTAAAATGTAAAGCATACAGGCCAGTGCATTAGAGAGTAAACCTTCACGTTTTCCTGAATTGTTTTGGTTAGAAGATGCTAAAATAAATACATTTGGTCACTTTGATTTTGTACACATAATCTGGAGATGACTGATCATGATAAAATAAACCCCCCCAAAAATCACTCAAAAAATACAGAACAATTAAAACCAAGTTACTAAGGTGTTCTCCTTGTGTGTAAGATCCTATCAGACAGTGCCTTTTATGGTTTCCCCATCATTTTTACTGAGACTTTGTGAGAGAAACATAGAAGCAATTTTTTAAACTGTAGTGAACTTGCCTGTCCTTCATCATTTTTAAAGCAAGTATATAAATAAATGTCCGTGAAAACAAATTTAAAAGGTTCACCTTTGCTATTTGAAATGAGTTCCACCATCAAAGATGCAACATTTATAACCCAGGAGATTTAGTACTGTGTCAGTTTATCTCATCAGGTCCAACCTAGTTTTTTATAAGCTTTATTTTGTATATGACCCATAATGTTGCAATAACTGCTGTTGTAAACGAAGACACAAGGAGACAATCCCTCCTCTTATAAAACTTGGGGAGCACTGCGGGTAGGCTTGGGTGGGGCCCTCAGTTGTCCCTTCCAAGGTGAAGCCATCGCTACCCACTTAACCCCTTTCTGCTTGTCCTTCGTAGGGCGCCAATGGTATGAAAGGAGAAAAGGGAGACTCCGGACTACCAGGCCCCCAGGGCCCTTCTGTAAGTCCCGGCTGGACACGCACAGCTGCTGAACCGCGCTGAGCAGGGTTCTGACCCCCTTGATCCTCCTATGCCACATAGCTCTCACCAGCAGGGACAGAGAATGGCTTGGTTTGTCAGCTGCAGAAGAAACACCAGTCGCCCTGGTGTAGGGGAGAGGGCATATCTGCTAGTGCATATCTTCCAAAGCACTATCGAATCCCACGAGAGAAAAAAAGTCAGGGGTTTCCCCACAGCACTTGTGGGTAGAGTTTTGTGAAAAGCACAACTTATATTTCTTTCCACCTGCTCCCTGTCTGCACACGGTGAAATCTTTGAGTTTCGAGGTGGTTGTGGCATTATAGCATTTCTGGGTAATGAGTTGCTTCTTTTCCTTTTAATGTACACTTGATTTATTTGGGCATGATGATTTGTACAACTGTTTTTTTAAGCAATTGTGTTCTCATAAAGGAATTTCTAGGCCTAGAGAATCAAACGCCACTTCCTGAAGCGCTTTCCTTCTCCGTTAATGACCTTAGCAGAGCCAAGCACAAGACCCAGGCCAACCCGCTTTATCTAAATGAAGTAACCAAATCCATGTTTGTTTTTTGGATACACAGATCATAGGCCCACCGGGCCCCCCGGGTCCCCACGGTCCACCTGGCCCCATGGTAAGTTCCCCTCCCTCCCAAAGATACTTGTTTATTTATGAGTGTGCTGTAGTCGAAGCATGAACACATCCTCGTGAAGAGCCGGCTCGTACTGCTCTGCTCTCCAGGGGATGGACAGAACATGCGAGGTGCTCCGAGATGCACTGACCTGACAGCGGAGCCGTTCACTTCCTGAACACATGTGCCGGAGACAGAGGAGCTTTGTGATAGAGCCGAGGAAAGACAGACAGATCCGGCAGACTGTGCTCCAGCCTCACAGTGAGAACATAGGCAAATCGTTTCAACCAGTCATCACTCTGGTCTCCTAGAAAAATCCAGTAATAACTGGGACCACTAAGGAACACTTCTCGCCATCTTCAAGGCTCAAGACCCTTTAATGAAGTGTCCACTAAATAAATAGCATAATACAAGTTGAAGTGTATTTCCACAGATAGCAGATTGATGGCTCTCGTCCTTTCGTGGTTTGGGTACTTGTGATGATTTCCTGAGCCAGGTCCAGTGTGACTGCAGGTGTCTTGCAGCAATCAACGAACAGAGCTCTGACCTCAGAGGACTTAGGTCTAGGAAGGAAGGAAGCCGTCCAGCAAGCCTCACTCTCCATGTGGGAGCTAATGACAGGTGCGGCCAGCCTGGAAGGTAGACGCACAGTGCCACAGAGGTTTTGATGAGGAGGACAGGAGAGGGCAGGATGGGACAGGAGAGGCAGTCCGTAAGGCTATACTCGTCTCTCAGATGTCTCTGCAACCCAGTGAGACAATAACACGGCTTAGTGGTGGCCGCCCTTGCCCCCTCCCAAGCTCTGACGACAGCGTGGCTGAAATGACCCAAGCTACAGTCATCCACACCACTGCTGAGTCACAGCCCGAGACCACCACACGCAGCCTCGTGTTCCTTGTCCTTTTGCAAGTCCATGTTCACAGTGCCTCATGCATGTATTCCTTGTGTGAGCTTGGTACGGGTACATGACACACGTTAGCTCCTCTCTTCCTCAATCCATCCTCCTCCGTCCCTTGGTCCCATTACCGTTTGAGAAAGATCTGCCCCTGCTTCCTATTATTAAACTTTGGGTTTCTCATATGAGAGAAACCATGTGATATTGAAGCTTGGGTTCGATCTACTTCACTTAAAGTGATGGTCTCAAGATGTATCCATTTTCCTACAAATGATTCAAAGTTATCTTCCTTTAAAGTAATACACTTTTGTGTTTAAAGACCACATTTTCCTTATCCGTTCATGTGTTGATAGACTTTAGGCCACTTCCAACATTCCGCTACCATGAATTCTGCTCCTATATCACGGGTGTGCACGGGTCACTAGACTGTCATGTCTTTAACTCTTTGGGGAAGACAACTAGAAGGGGAATAACTAAATCAAATGGAGTTTCTAGCTTTAGTTTTTGGAGGAATCTCCACCCTGATTTCCATAAGGGTTGTACTAATTTACATTCCCACCGACAGTGGAGAAGAATTCCTCACTCCACAGCCTCTCTAGCATTTGTTATTATTTTATTTGTTGATGAGGGCCATTCTTTCTGGGGTAAGATGGAATCTCAGTCTTGTTTTAATTTGCTTTTCTTTTAATTTCTTCATGTATTTATTGGCCATTTGTATTTCCAGTTGTCTTAAAGCCAAGTAGTTCATATAAGAATTTAGAAATATCATACTTTGGGCCTTTTTAGACTCTTCATTTTGCTAGATTAAATTGGAAAATGATGCATCCTGTTCACATAAAATTAGTGGAAAGGAATTTTAAGCTGTTATTAAAATGACATAAGAATACCTGGTAACTATAATCCTAGCACTCAGGAGGCTGAGGTGGGAGGATCAATGCATGTTTCAGACCAGCCTGAGCTACAAAGTGAGCTCAAGCCCAGCCTGAACTGCATAGCGAGACCCCATCTCAAAATAAAGAGAAAAAAAAATCCTGATAACATAGCTGCCACTTCCTCAAAATGCTTATCCACAACCTATCTAAAAAGAAATATTATTCTAATGTAGACATATGTAAATAAATATCTAGGCACAGCTTAATCAAGTTTTCCTGTTGTTGTATGACTTCACTGATGACTATTAAATACTTGGAGAGCAAATCATTTAAAATTACTTGAAACTTTCAAAGCACTGGACAGTTAATTTAAATTGATGGTGTCTATATTTAGATCTTCATGAAAGACACTTTTACACCGATTCAAGCATACATTATGATGCCCATTGGTAAACAATTGTTAGGGCTTTAGAGAATTTATCTTTGTGAGGATAAATGTTACCTAAACAATGCTCAGCCTTCCCTAATCTGAGATTAAATTAGATGCTATGGGAGCCCATCTCCTTGGGACTAGAGGTGTTAATCCGGAAGGTCTCCTCTCCCCTGGTACTGAAGGTACTGGACTTCTCTTTGGCAATTTGCTCATTTTTATGTCCTATCTTGATTCTGTGTAAGTCCATGGACTATCTCAAATGTTCTACCAGATAAAAATGAAAATTTGAGAAGGAACAACATCAATTCAAAAGAGCTTTTTCCCTTATTTTTCTTCCATATAAGCCTGGCAGATTTCTCCATCCTTCTCATAGATGTTTAGCAGACAGAACATTACTAATGAATTTCCTTCTGCACAGCAACGCACGGGCTGGAAGGATCTCTGCTGGGCGTAACACCCCCTGCCTGCCCTAGCAACGGCTCAGCAAGAAGATTCTTGGCGTACTTCTCTGATATAAATTCGTTTCTGCTGGGGAACAGCAAGCAAATTCATAATCAAAAGCTGTGTTTTCCGTTTGCAGGGACCCCATGGACTTCCTGGACCCAAGGTAATCCAGCAGATCCCTTGGCCATTGGATAAACTCGGGGAAGGGCACCAGAGCATGTCTGTCCTGTCTTCTTTGTCATTAATGTTAATAATCTTTAAGCCTTTAAGCATCTAGATGTCTAAATCTCATGGTACAACATGTCTTCCAACAAATTTAAGTGGTTACTCCTGGATGATTCCTCATTTTGCTTTTTTGTTTGTCACTATGTATGTTTTCTAAATTACTGGCTATAACATACTCAGGTCAACCATTCAGAAGTCAACTGCTGAGAGTCTCAGGGGAGGCCCGGCTGTCTGTCTGATTGTTATGAATTGAAATGCTTGCTACATTGGCGTGGCTGCTCTCGCCAGCTTCCTGGGCTTGGTCTCAGGTGTGTTCTGCTGGGAATAACCTGCATTCCACACATTCTGACTTAAAAGTGAATGAGAGAGAAAAGCCCCCTTCTGTCAGAATTAGTGCAGTTTTCACCGGCAGGAGGTCTTTACCTTTGCATCAACCTCAAGGACACCCTGGCATAGTAAAATGCACCCTGAAATACAGGCTTCTGCTTCCAGGAAGTACAGATGGTGAGGACCTGGGTTCTAATCTCAACTTTGTCACCTTGGGCAGATATCTGACACCCTCCAATTCTTCGTTCATGCAACTAGTGACTGATCTCAGAGTTGTTGTGATGGTCAGAAGCATATTTATAAAACATCTAGCACAATGTCTGGCACAGTTGTGGATATTTATAGTGTTATCTTGTGACTGCTTTGTTCTGAATAAAAAATTTCAAGATAGCTCATCCTTCAGTCTCCTTGAGAAAAAGTGCAGAGACTCCTGAAGGTTCCTCACCATGAGCTGATGCTTTTTAGAGAGAGATGGACAGTGTGGCTGGCAGCAGGTGTCAGGAAGGCCACCCAGCAGGCTAGGAGGATGCAGCAGGTTCCGATCGCAATCAGGTAGCCTTGAGTTTCCTCTTCATGGTCAGGCAAGCAACACCACAGGCAAGAGAAGTCCACACCGCTTCCTTTCTTAGAATATCTTATCTTCCGCTGAGGCCTGTGTCAGAGTCTTGGAAGTACGTACAGTGCAGGGGGTCAGGAGAGAGCACTTCCGCTTATGATTTTGGCAGTGACTTAACCTCTCTAAACTAAATCCCTGCTTCCCACTCTTAGCCTGTCCTCAAATTTGAAGGTGTCACCAAAGATCAGCCTGGTGATAATGCCAAAAGGTGAAGCCACCAGGATTATTTCTAACCCCGTGAGTGATTCTGATTTGCCATCACCATCAAATTAGAAAATTCTTGAGATCCTGTTAATGTGGAAAATAAAATAATTCTGTTCACATTTAAATCATAAATTTCAGAAAAACTATAAAATTGAGAAGACCTCATAGGTGATCCACTTGATTTTACAGTTGATAAACTACAAAAAAACTACTGAAAGTTTATTTGTCCCAGATCATACAGCAGGGTAATGATAGATCTGAGACTAGACTCTTGTCCAGAGTTGAAATTTGGTCTTTTTTGCTACGAAATTTGACTGTTTCCAATCTAACCTTCTCCTCTAATGCCCACTCCTGCCAAGGTGTGCTCCCCACCAAAGAATCTCCCAGCCCGTAGGTGCTGGCCTGCTGAACATTTGAAGTCCTGATCTCAGGTTTATGCTGGGTGCCTCTGGCCTTGGAATCATATCAGCTGTGATTCTGACATTCCCAGGGCCACACTCAGCAGCTGTCACACATGCAGACTTCCTGCTGTGGCTCTCTGCAAACTCCTGTCTTCAAAATCCTGAAAATGAACAGTCGTGCCAAGACTCTCATTTTGTTTTGTCACCCTTTGAAGGTTCAAATATATAGATAACATGGCTAAATGTGCCTCAGTTTCCAAGAAGATCCCTCCAGGAGGTGGTGATGGTATCCATTCCTGTGCTGCTGTGGTCCAGAAGGGCTTTGGACCCTTCATGGCTAACAAGCACCACACCACGAAAATTGGGTAAACACAGCCTACATTAGGAATCTCTCTGCCGGTGTGCGCATGACCTCTCCCCCTAGGCTCAGATCTTCACAAGTCTTTCAAGATTTTAAAGCCAGGCATGGTGGCTTATACACGTGAGAGGCTGAGGCAGGAGGATTGCTGCAAGTTCAGGACCACCCCGGGCTACATAGTGAGTTCAGAGGCAACCTAAACTATACAGCAAGAATGTGTCTCAACAAACAAACAAGATCTTGACAAATTAACATCTATACTTAAACATGGAAAAGTACACAGGTCAAAACTTTCTCTGCCTGTAACACGGTCCTGATGAAAAGGGATACACTGTATTCCCAGGTTTTTGCAAAACTGAGTCAAGAGAGTTTATCAGTTACTTGCCTTTCATAATGTCACTCTGAGTTAAATTCATACCAACTTGATTCTTGCGTCAGGGAGACGAGCAGTTAGTAAAACTATGCTTGGTCCTTTGATCTTCATGGTCTCCTCTGGGAGGGATGATTTGTTGTCGACTCTATTGATTAATCCATGTAGGGACCTGACTTGGCAGAGTCGGTGAGGGAGGACTTGCTGAATGGCATCACTTCAAACATCAGCTGCTACATTTTAGCTCACTCCCCTGGGCAAAATGCTTAAAGGCTTAAAATATCTGTCTGTAACACTCTCCTGCATATTCCAGCTCTCCCTTCCAGCAGAGTGGGTTTTTCTGATGGAGGCGCCTCGCCCTGATTGTTTTTGACTTGCCTGATCAAAACAATGTAGAGACAACAGCAACAATCTTCATTTCCTTAAGATGGAGCTCAAAAATTCAGGAACTCAGCCATGCATCTTTTGATGGGAAGGAACACACTTTCTGGGGAGCTTCGCGGTCTAGAATGTTTTTCTCTTGTCCGTGTCAGTTTATTCGCGTCAGATGTTTTCATTAATTTTTGAACTGACGCAAGACAGCTCTAGCCTGACTCTGCTGTTACCAAAGACTGGGATATGCAGTGATTTCAGAGACTGGCTCTCTTCTCTCACAGTTTAAACACCCATGATAGCAACCACAATTGGCATTTGCTTTTGCATTTAGGGTGAACCAGGGTTAAATGGTGTTAAAGGATTGAAGGGTGAACCAGGTCAAAAGGGTGACAGAGGACCCCTTGGTCTTCCAGTAAGTAAAGAAAACTTTCCATTTCAGTGCAAACTGGGATTTTTCTTTCTACCCTAAGTAACAGCTCTGGTTTACTCAGTAGCTATCTTACTGCAGAGATTTCTGTAATCTGAAAACATACCATGTCAGAGCAGAGCTCGGCCCAGTTTTGTTTTCTCTGATGTCTGCCCTGGCGGCAGAGGGTGACCCGTAACAATGCTGTAAATGTTGTGTCATTCTCCAATTGCATACGTGCCAACCCTCCTCTCCCTGGGCTGACAGTTCCCCAACCATCATCCTCCAGAAAGTGTTCCACCCATTAATTCATAAATCTGCCGGTGCTTTCCTAACCTAGTGCAGTGTAGAAGTCTTTTCCCTCAGCAGCCAAAAACTGTAGCCCTCTTGGTGGCAGGTACGCAATTGGCCATTGTCAGTGGCGTGAGGTCGGTGCTGTGGTCCCTTACGTTAACTGGTCACCTGGTGTTCACGTTGTATGTTGCTTGCTTGCGAAATTCCCTGTCATGAAGTTCTTGTGGCAACATGAACAGAGCGAAAGAAGAATTTCCATTTGTTTTGAGATTTTATTTTTAATAAGAAAAGGACTTTCCCTTTCATGTACTTTTTTTTTTTTTTTTTTTTTTGTCTTTTTCCTTTTTATCGGTACTGGGGATCGAACTCATGACTGCGTGCTTGCAAGGCAGGCACTTATGCCGCTGAGCTAAATCCCCAGCCCCTGCTTTCATGTACTTTTATGCCAGGCTTCTTCCCACAACAACCAAAAGACTTTTAAAACTAGTATTGCATCTGAGGCTTTGGTTTCAACTTTAAATATATTTCCTAGCCACTGAATACAAAGAAGAAAATCAAAAGAACCTTGTAGATTGCATTAGTCAAATAGGACATAAAATTAGTAACAGAAAAAAGTTCGCACATGTATTTAGAATGTGGGAGGGAAAAGATGATGACTAATTATTTTATTTTTCTTAAAGATACTTTGCTTGAAGTACTAAAATGTTCCATCTGAGGGCCCAGGGTTTTACCAGTCAGGCTCATAGTAGATGTAGTCTGTATATTCACTCACAGAAGCCCTTTATTAGAATATAGGTTGAGTCATCATTTACATCAATGGCCCAGGCATAAAGGCTCTAAGACATTCCATGAGACATCAGTTCGCACATATGATATAATACATGCATATATGATATAATACCAATATAAGGTTATTATCTTTTCCCATTTATTTACAAATGTTATGATAGCAACTGATGGATATATATCAAAAGCCAAAAGAAAGTTTGACTTTCCTACTTTAAACTTTGAATATGATTTTCCCTACATGTTCTCTAATTTCAAATTTTGAGCTATCAGTAATATTTGTTCAACGTTGAGTCAGGCTCTGCCTATGGTACCATTAAACAAATAATGGTTCACATTTTTACTACAAGCATTGCTAGCTGAAGTTGTGTTTTGTTGTGACAGTGTGGATCATGATAGGATTATACAGAAGGAATTTTGTTAAATACCCAAAAGGGATATGGTACAGCATCACTGGCAGGGTTTGCAGGAGGGATAGTTTTTTTTAATTTGTTTTAACTGCATCTGAAGCATAAAATGTAGAAATAGTTCTACACCCTGGCCAGGAGACCTTAGAGGTCCAGTGCACTGTCATCTTAAATATTCCTTTTTCTGGCCGATATTTTGAATCCTTGTTACAAATAAATACTTGGGCTTCAAGATGCAAAAGCCTTATTAGACAAATACTTGGTCTGTAAACCGGCACCCGAAATGTCATTTTCACGGTACACTATCTGTGGAGTTCCAGGGAAAGAGAAGCATGAACTGAGAACACAGATCGTTAAGGCATTGTCCATTCAGGCTTCCGCACCAGGATTATTTGAAGTGAATTGTAGAAGCATTTAATTTGGGAATTAGTTTTTGCATCGCTTGCAAGGTTTGCTGCTCCCCCCACCCCACGCACCATTTTTTCCCCGTTCCTAGAAGGCCCTCTAGTGGTGACATGCATGAACTGTAGGAACAACTCACTAAACAATGAATGCTGAATATTGTCCATATCATCTCAACACATTAAAAACCAGCATTTGTTGTCCATAAACACTATCTTAAGTGTAACTGTAGCTCTGTATTAATGCTCTGAAATGCTAAATGTGATTATTCTACGGAGCCCTTTCTTAGGCGATCAGCATTATCTTCTCTTCAGAACCCAATGAAACGCCCTGTGAACGAGTCCTTATGAGTCTCACATTTAAATTAGACAGGAGCCTCTTACTGTTGCCAGTAACTATTTTGTAGTCCACTTGATTTGTAAACGAGCGTTTGCTGATAGAAATGTCATTAAAATGCCATCATCTGTGGGATGTTTACTGTCATGTGTTTTAAAAACTAACAATATGTAGCAATGTGATATTCATCCCAGAACCCTGTGACTGCCTGTTATGTTGTTGGAAGTGTTGCACATGTTCTCTGGTTCCTCACACTAATTTCTGTTCTTGTCATTCGTGTCACACCCAACAACCCCGCTACCAACCCGATCCCACAGGGAGCATCTGGCTTAGACGGAAAGCCAGGATCCCGGGTGAGTCAGTCCCTCGTCTTGCTCTGACATCTTTTGTGGACAGGAATCACGGGCTTCCGATGATGAGGTGCTACCTAGGGCTGGAGTCAGGGAAAGGTGGAAGAGAGGACAGGTGACAGAATGGATTGTGGCAGATCTGAAGTACAGACTAAGCTCCCAGAACATCTTTCAAAGCCCAGATTCAAGTCTGGATAATTTCCTAGATGGAAAAAATGACCAGTCTAATTGGCTTCATGGCTTCAGTGTCCCTGCCAGACTTTTCTATAATCAATAAAATAATTGGCATCCCTGTAACTCAATGACAGAGGCCTCTGAAGTGATTAATATAAATGTACTTTAACTTGTCCATTTAGATTCATGTCCATCTTAGAGCTGTAACTCTTCCCTTGGGACTAACTTTCAAGTCTGTTCGTGGAAATAATTTGTCTGTCTTCTGTCATTTTGTCTTTTCTCTGGTTCTCTCCAGCATCATCTCTTCGATTTTAGCAATAGATACACAATATTTACAAGTCTTCTAAAGATATGCTTTGAATTGAGATGGTCAGAAACATCTTTTAAGATTATGAAAATTTAGCCAGGAATTTAGATCAGCAGCACAAGCGCCTGCCTGTAAAGCGCAAGGTTGTGAGTTCGATCCCCATTACCAAAAATACCAGATGTATAAAGATGATGAAAATTCACTAACTCAGGGATGAATTTGAAACTCTAAATTCTCTCATATTACACGGCTGTAACAGAATAAACCAGAATCGTGGAGTAGAAATGAAGTCCTATGGAAAAATTATGCCAACTTATGTAGTTACTACATTTGCAAATGTTCCAGTATTTTGCAAATCTGTGCCCAGTCTCCCTGACAAATGAGCACGCATACTGGACATCTTTGCTACATTTGCAAGAATCTAAAAGGAATTCCAAGCATCAGTTCTGACCCACTGCTTCAAGCATTATTTTTCACTGTCCCCCAGAGTCCCTTGTATTTATTCAAATGATACCTCTTCTGCCACCAAAATCCTAGCTCTAAATGAACCAAGAGGCCAGAAGTCAATCATGCCACTAAATCATGCCAGTGGCCTGGTTTGCAAGGAGCGGCCCAGTATTTCAGCCACTGCCATATACCCTCAGGGCCCTGCTGTTCCCAAAGAGCTGCATGGATTCCGAGGTGAATGCTTTTCGCATTTATTGCTTTTTCTAATCATAACACTATTCAAGTCACTTAAAAGGGGCAACACACAGCTTGTGAGAGTGCTTGGTGCAGGTGGCAGTGAGTGTGGGGAAGAACTTGGAGACAGGAAGAAAGGACGGTTACATTTCTCATGTTAAGATGGGGGGGGGGGACAGTGAAGATGCTCCATTACACCAGGGAGGAAATCACTAACTCAACATGATGTATGGCTTTTTGTGTAGACTTTTCACTGAAATATGCAGTTATATAATTCATCCCTGTAGCATGAGTGTCTCAAAAACCACTGGACCAAAAGAAGGGAGAATATGTTGTCCCGCTGACATCCTAAGGCATCATCCACCAGGAACAGTCCAGGATAAATCATAACAGTCTTTCCTGCAGCCCTTGTCATGGCTCTCATATTATTTTTTATCTTTTTCTAGGGTACTGATGGTCCTATGGGACCCCACGGCCCTGCCGGTCCCAAAGGAGAAAGAGTAAGTTGCCCCAGAGTTTATTAAGCTTAAGCTGTGGACTGAATACTACAGCACGGCTTTGTCACCTGAGCTGAATTCGAGCTGTTCATTTTCCAAAAAAGAAATAAAGGACTACCTCAGACTACATGCACATGTAGACCTTGTGTTCTAGTTAGACTCCTCAAACACCCAGAGAGGAAAACTACCACGTACAAAATAAAATGGGGCTGCCTTAATGAAAACAATGCATACATTTACATAGCTAAAATATAATAGCTCTGATTTTTCTTCCTTCGCCCATAAGGAAGATATTTTCATTTGGCCTTCATCCAGAAGGTTGAAACAAAGCTACAATTTCCAGGACTATATATTCTGGCTGATAATCTTTAATATAAAGCTACTGTATTCATGCAGAGAAACTTACGATGTTTTTCAAAAGGAAATTAGAAAACCTAAGTATTGCTCTCCACATAGTTACACGTGCTCCCATTTTTTAAGCTAAAGAATGGCCTGTTTTTCTTTAGCCATCAGGAAACAATTTCGGTGTCTTATAAAACAAAAACCTTCCACTAACCTCTCAATGGCTAGGCCACGCGTCCACATCCTTGGAAAAAAAAAAAACAGAAAAAATATATGGAGGAAGATAAATGTCCAGCACAAAAAAATGCAACACGGGCAGCTGGTCATCTGTCTGGAGCTTGTCTCCCTCTCTGTCTGTTTTTCTCCCACTTTTTCTTTTCCGCACCTTGAAAAACACAGAAGTTTTTTGTGTATCTGAATACACTTGTGTCATCAATTTCCCCACCATCTAGGAGAGGACATAAAAGAAAGTATTTTTATAAGAAAGTGCTTCAAAAAGTTGGAATAGGTCACTGCAAGTCTGTGGTCTTTTTTAAATTGGATAGTTTTCATCAGTCTGGAAACATTTTTTGAAGAAAGAGGGCTTGGTAGTGAGTTCTTTGATAAACCTTTCCGTTCCCTGCTTCTGTGTCTTATAAAGTAAGTTAATTCATGTAGTAAATATTTATTTAATTCTAGTATGTGCAAAGCATGGTATGGCTCTTAGTGTGAGGTGGACACTGTTCCTATTTATATTAGGCCTATTTTACCTCTATACTGTTACAATTGATTACCTTGTAGTCTTTTTAATACCTACATTTACTGCTGCAAAGAAAGCAGCTATTTTTATTGACTTATGAGCGTATACAGTAATTTCAAAGAAAAAAAATGTAAGAAATAGGCGGGGAATAAGGCCACAGGGAGAGCAGGTAGCTCACACCACAGAGCCTGCCCCAACCGAGAAGGGTTCTCCGCATCGAATCGGAACCTGCCACTGTCCCATTGCTAAGATCCAACTGATGGTGCCTCACGATCGTCTTAATTAAAGACATTTAGGAGCTAAGAGCCTTAACTCGGCCAGGACAGATGCACTTTCAAGCACTGCGTGAAGTAACCGAGCCCCTGGACTAAAATTGGAGCAGCAAATCTCGGGCAGTCTTTTGGCGGAGAGCCAAGGGCTCAGGCGGGTTTACCGTGGGGTGAATCAGCTGCTACTTCCAATGGCTGCACGGCCTCCCAAGAGTATCAGGTCTCCTCGCCGGGCAGGATTAGCCCGAAGAGCAAATGAAGTCGCTGAGCGTTTTGGAAGCCCAGTTCCAGTCATCGGCGCACAGTGTAAAGTGCTCTGCATGTCAGCCCTGGTAATTGGACCCTGTGTCAGTCCCCGCCAAGTGCCCTCAGCAGAGTGCTAACCTGGAGAGTGGTTCTCAGAGTTAATTGCAGCACCAGCTGGAGACTCTTCAAGAAGTCTCAGATTTGAAAGAGGTGGGACTCAGCTAAGAGGCAGCCCAGCACCGTTTCCTGGGCAGCCAAGGAGAGCCCTGCAGGGCATGAGAGCAGCCGAGAGAAAGGAGGCATTTCCCAGCCACGGCACCGGCAGTTCTCAAATGTCTGGGCGACAGTCATCATCACTGAGAGCACCTGAAGCCCCTGCACAGAGGGGTCTTTGGAATTACTCATTTTAGGAAAAGGAGTTACACACCACACACCTGTGTTAATATTTCCTTCCTAAGTGTATTCAGGATGGAATCGTTATGATGCTGTTGGCTTCAGCAGATGGAGCCTAAACTCAAACTGGCTTAACCCAGGAAGACATTTGCTGTATAACCGTGGTCAGGCTGCTTTGCTGTTTGCCTAGGCACACAGGTGGCGGCAGTTCTAAGCACCCCTGGGAAGACGGAGGAGAGGCAGAGCCTGTCCCCAGGTGTTTCTTTTAGGCACAGAGAACCCCTTTCCCAGAGGGCCCAGCATAGGACACATGTCACCTCCAGAAGCTGCCTGCCACTGGCCAGAGACACAGAGTTGCCTGAGCTGGGCTAATCCAGAAGAGGAGTTTCACAGGCTGGCGTTTTAGTGATTCGTTTATCCAAATAAGCCCCAGCACATTTACTTAAAAGAAATTTAAAAGCCAAGCCAAAGTTCTCTGGAGGAGGGAAACGGCATGGTGATGTCGAAAGAGTCTTTGGAGATTTTCCAAACTCAACCCACCGCTTCCTGTGGGCTATTTCACATTAAACCTTGTCCAGCTTTGGTGGCCCTGACGCTGGTCTCCCACCGCCCCACTCACCACTGATTTAAAAATCGTAATAGCAGTGCCAAGTCCCACTGGAATGATGAGGTGGTCAGAAACACTGGGAATGCTGCAATGGTGCTGCCGCCACCATGTGCCATCCAGGGGAAAGACGGCTCATAAAAATACGATGCCGAGTCCTCATCCACCTTATTCATCTGAGCCGGCACCACGTGACTTCTGGCTCCTGCCCGAAGTCTAAGTGACCATGAAAGTCAATATTTCAAGACATCAAAGCAGCCAGGACAGCACAACTAAAGACACCCAGGAAAGAGGACTCCAGAGCTGCTGCGGACAGTGGCAAGGAGGATGGGACGAGTGTGTTCAAAGCGAGGGTGACTGTTTTGAGGATTTCTTAGCAAGGTGTCTTTTACTGTAATACTTTCTAAATGTAGACAGTCACCATACTTTTTGGCCTTTCCTCACCGATGTGCATGGATGAATCAAACTTTCACTTTTCATTTTTAGGGAGAAAAGGGATCCACGGGAGAGCCTGGACCCAGAGGACCCTACGGCCTGCCTGTGAGTTTCCTGTCATGAGTGGCACCACCGTTAGCATGCCGCTGTGACCTGTAACTGACATGGTTAACCCTTCTTTTGTGGGCCTAACTAATCACACCAGAAAAGCAAGGACGACCCACTAATTATCAGCAGCACAGTTAACGCCACACTCCTCGCAGATAGGTTCCCTTCCCTGTCACTTCCGTATGAGCGAGCATCCTCCATGCACCCCCTGAGACTGAGGGCCGGGGGCCTCTGCAGGGTAAACACTACCCTCCCCTGAAAGCGGGATTCCAGCTGTCAGTCAACACCCACCCTGAGCCGCTGACTGGACACTCACACCTGGCCCTTCCTTGAGAGACCACTGGTGTCTACCTACCAGCAGGTGTGGATGTTTTGTTGACAATCACTTTAATCATGCTTTATTTGCATCCATGAGCCATTCATTAAAAATTGCTCTTGTTAGTAAAAATCTTCCTCCACAGGAAATGGGTATTTACCATACCAACATGGTTCTGACTTTTCCAAATCACCATGAGGACAAATGATCTTCAGAACAGAATACTGATAGTGTTTTTCATCTGAAAATTCTCAAGTACACAGAATTGAATGGAGGTGTCAATCATTTCAAGAATGTGACCTTGGCTTTAGATAAGATTGATTCAAAGGCTTCTAACCTCCAGGTACCTTTCACATACTTTGGGTGAGCTGAAATAAAACCTAAGCCATGATTATTTCAGTTGCTGATTCTGAGATGTCAAAACCAAATAGAACCACAGCAACTCCAGGGGAACTGTGGCTGGCTTCCAGGCCGGTGACTAGGGTTGTCACCTTGATACTTGAAACCTCAGGAGTGACTTTGTTGTCTTTACATAACAGCCTTATGCCTCCTTTTATATTTGGAAACCATCATTTACAAAGCTTGCTGAAAATTGTTAGGAACTTCATGCCCAAGACACTTAACGGAAGGGGCCCATCAAGCCAAATTAAAACTTTAAATAGTTTTCCCATTTATGAACTAACTACTAAGCTATTAAAGTAACATTAGTACACATCCTTGAGTGCTGGTATTTTTACATTTTTTTTACTTTTTACATTTACATATTTTTACTACAACTAATCAGTGTTTCTGCTTACAACTTCACGCTTCAACTGATCACATGACTAGCAAGCATTAAACTCCAGCCAACTACCAATCCGCTAACCATGTATGATAGAAAACTTGTCATGACTCTTCCCTGAAACCTTCCTAGTCTCTCCAACGTGACTGAGAGGAGTTTGTGGTACTAATCCATAGGGAACACTTTTCACGCTCCTGAAGTAGTTGTTCTAATCCAGTGCTGCATGACCAGGCATCCTTATGTGAACCCGTAGCCTCTTCCTGAAACTTAGGAACATTAATGGAGCTACTATGGTTCTTTGGCAGGGGAAAGATGGAGAGCCTGGTCTTGATGTAAGTAATGTGCACAATAAACATCTTCCTACCCTAACAGAGTCTGATGGTCTCCTTCAGGAACAGCCAGAATGCTTGTTTTTCTGTGCATAGAGCATGCATAGAACATATATTACTGTGCGTGTAGACAGCAATATGAAATACACTAGCACTTGCATGAGATACACATAAAGGCAAGTAGAATTAAATGGTATAAAATTGACAACTCACAGTAGATACTAGCAATTCTAAGTACTTCCCCAAATTTAGGAGACAACCTCAGCATACCCCACTTACGGACAAAGTGTGCATAAAAACCAACACACCTCTCTCACGCTAGCCTTAAGGGATGGATATTACATCTATCCTCAAAGGTGTTATGCAGTATTTTTCCTTTTAAGCCCCGATATACATTTTTTGTGCTAACATGATCCTATAAAAATACTGTCAAAAGTAAATGCTTCCGGAAACCAACCCCACTTATCCTGTATTATGTGAATAATGACAATAGCAGTTGTATTTGTTACTGTTTACTGAGCACCTGTTATGTGCAAATATGGTTCTGGTACTTCCGTACGCACTTGACTTTTTAATATGCCAGTTAGTGCATTTCTGCAGCTCCTAACGATTACATTTCTTGTGGAACTGCTGCATGTACATGACATGTCCTTCCTTTCCCATCCCTCGCCCGTCCATCTCTTTCCCCCTTCTTGTTTGAGAATGCTCTCTTCCTTTCCACTCTGTCTTTTATGCTGCTCTCTATTTGTATTTTGAGTTAGCTCATTTAACGTTGTGTTAGATATTCATTAACCCACTTCGCAACCGAGAGCTAAAGTGCGGAGGTAAGTGACTTACCCAAACCCACGCAAACTGGTGAACTTGCCAGGATCCAGTGCGTGTTCTGGTGTCCATGCCACTCACTCTACTTTCTTAGGAACAAAAGTGAGAAATCTAAGTACTATTCTAAGTACTCTTTTACCTAACTTTTTAGGTGGCCTGACATGTCACGTTTTATGTTTGAGTTTAGATCCGTCAAATTCTGGGGTGATTTCTTTTTTGCCAATTGCACCAATAGATCTCTCGGCTTTGCTTTTTACCCACAGGGCTTCCCTGGTCCTCGAGGCGAGAAGGGTGACCTAGGAGAGAAGGGAGAGAAGGTGACATCTCCCTCCTCGCGTGTGTTTTATGTGATTCTGCTCACGCTGTCTGCTTTGCTGCCCGAACCTGTGCGATGCGTCAGATTCCTTGTCTGTGTCCATCCTGTGCTCCAAAACACTCCGATCCCTGATCTAAAGAATCAGGGGTCTTCCAAGAGAAACAGCAAAAGTGACACCCTAGAAATACGGACACAGCCTAGCACGAGAGAGAAAGTCTAATCCCCAGCAGGCCACATTATAATCTTTCAACCGCTTGCCATTGAGCCTTTGAAAAATGTAACGTCTAGGGGTTTTGAAACATTTTTCATAAAGGTAAAGTTACATCATGCAAACCTGCAGTAGTATTTTGGCAGAGCTCACCTAACCTTGTAAAGCAAGCATCTCATTCATCTTAATGACATGCCCAAGAGAGACAGATGTTGTGTTTCTAGATTTTTATAAATGCAGGACCACTGGTGTGGCTGATGAGTCCATTGCACAGATTGAGGATTTGCTTCAATCCAATTCAGGGCCAACAGAGGTGGCTTTCAAAGGGAAGACATTGGGATTCTATCTTGGGTCACCAGCTCCAGAGCATATAGCAACCAGCACCCAGTCAGATGTTTAGATTTTGGGTTTTAAAATTACTTTTCCATTCCTCCTCTTTGCTCTTTTATCTAACTATTTTGTTCAATTCTTTGACCCAGTTGATGAAAGAATTTTTTTACACTCGACAAAACCAAAGTAGCCAATGAAAATTCAGTGCTACAATAGAATAATAAAAATCTATAAGGAGATAGAAATGCACCCTCACAATTCCAATTTAAAACATTGTGCTTCTCTAATTCATTTCCTGAACTATTTAACACCTCATTGTTTTTAAAACGTGGTCACTTCCCTTAACAGTGAAGTCTGTCTGCTGTGTATGTTTTTGGCCCTAAATGTCACCCAGCACCCACTGCTAAGAAAGTACTATTGTCACCAACATCGCTTCTATTTCGAGCACATATGTGCTTTCCCAAGAACTTTATAGGTGATAATCTTTTAATACTACAATACTATCCTAAGGTTGGTGCTATTATCCCATTTCTCAGATAAGAAAATGGAGGCATAAAAATTCTGAATCATAAATTTTGAATATAGAGTATGTTTTGAGGTAAACTGTGCATGGAAGTTTTTAGTGCAAAGTGATTATATTTTTAAGTTTATGTGCAGTTATATTCACCTAATAGGTTACGTGAGTCTGAGTCTTTCAAAACAGTTTGTATGCATGAGTTACTCATTCTTAGAATCTCTTAAACAAGAAATTACCATTACTATAGTTTATAAAAGCATAGAGCTGCCACTCAGTCCTCAGAATATTACTCATACAAAAGTATTTCTCTATACAGATTCCAGGATTAGAGGATTGTATTGAGGAAAAATTAGATTCTAAATATGAGCATCTCACATATATTATTGTTTGACATAGGGATTAAAATAGCAAGAGCTTTTATGTGCTCATACCCAGAACTGTGGGCTTCCATGCAGTCACTTTGGGTAAAAAGCACCGCTGATTAATAATAACCCTGATACAGTCTTTTTTGTAGCGTCACTTTTCTATAAAACTTGCACTGTGAATAATTCACTAAAATAACGAAAGGCGGTGTTTACAGCTCAGCACAGTGACGTTTCTATGACAGCTCTGTCCCGTTCGGTGGTTAATCCAAGTCCATTCAACGATCAAATAGCAAATCGAAGTCTAGATTAGTCACCCCAGCACACCTGCTCTCAGTCACAACTACTGACGACTAATCCACCTTTTTAGGAGGAAAGAGCTCACCCAGGCAAGCCGAGTCGGGCTCCATCCTGGCACCGAGGGGCACAGCTGAGGCGCCTGTTTACCTCTGAGCAGGAACAGCTTCCCGAGCCCCCTGCTGTCCACCTGCCCTTCTGCCCTCCATATTCTTTCACTGTGACTTTCACGTCTTTTTGTCTTCAATTGTGATCAGCTACACCACACAGACTCTCCCTAAACCCAAGTGTTTTTGATTCAGAGCCTTCTGAGGCAATGGTTTTGGCACACAGGAGATAAATGTGGCGCTTTGGCCCGGCTGTCAGAATGAATGTATTAATCTCAGTGTGTATCTCGTAGGGTTCTGTGCTGCCTCTCTTGCCTGTGAATATTCATGTTGTTTTGCTTCAGAGATGATTCGGTTTCATTGTAACCGCCATGCTGATTGCAGGATGAAGATACTAATTTAAATATGTAGCTCGTGTTTTGCATGCTACACAGCCCAGTCCCTGTCTACACATGTGCAGAGAGCTACGTTAATGTGAAACAGCTGAGGTGCATTCCTGCCTTCTCCGCCTTTTGCCTCCTTTGCTTAAGTCCTCCACCCCTGTGAGCCGGCAGAGCTCCCACCACCTCCACCTCCACCTCGATTCTAAACACTAACTCCTGCGGCTCAGCTCCCACCACGTAATTATCCTGCCTACCTCATCTCTACTGAGTCCAGACCGCTTCTCCTCTTGAACAGGTTTATTTTTTTTCCCTTTTGGCTTTTGTTACACTGAATAATCTGGAAACTCATTTACCATTGTGAACCGGAGGCGTGCGAGCAATGAATGAACTAAAGAGCCCTGACGGTTACAGGTGTCTGTCCCTCCAGCGGGCATTGCTACAGAGGATTCGCACTTGGTGCACTTGTTAATCTGACCTAATGAGGGAAGTATCTGCCTTCCATTTTTTAAAATGTTGAAGCATATTTAATACATTGAAATGTTTTAATAAGAGCTACGGAAAATGATATGATTGGGTACACTTCTCCTTTTCCTTTGGCTCAATATAGTTTGCATTTGCTCAGAATTTTTTTTTTAAAAAAAAGCAAGTTGATAAGTATTTCAAATTGGGCGCAGTATCCTGTGTTCCTCTTGCCGCTGGCTGGCTCTGATGCCGCTGGTACCAGTACCGTCCACTTCGCCAGACCCGTAGCACAAGCCCCAGTTCACAGTGATGGCGACGTGATGGTGCACGTCGCATGGGTCTGCCTTTCTGACGTGTCCGCCTTTTTAAGCCATCTTCTTTTAGCTTAAGTATCTTAAATAAAAGCCCCACGTCCTGCTGCCAGGAACCCACTGGCACTCGGGAAGTGTAAGCTCTTTTTAGCACACCGTGCCGCCTCGGAGACAGAAAACAGTGGTAAATGCCCTTTCAGACCTTCCTTAGCTCAATCATCTTCTGAATCACCTTCCTCCCCCACCCAGGTAAAACCTTTTATTAAACCCTTGTATCCATCCACAGGGGGCAAAGGGAAAAAAAGGCAAAAAGGGGCCCAAAGGGGAGAAAGGAGAACAGGGGGCCCCCGGATTGGATGCCCCCTGCCCGTTGGTATGTCTGATTCATGGTACTGTCTCTGGATGTTGCGTGTGAGGCTGAGACAGGAGAAGAGCAGGCAGGGACAGCGACAGGGGGTCCCGTGGCAGGGTCGGCTACCGTGGACCTCAGAGGTTAAGGAGCCCCGCTCTCGGGGTGTCCCGTGGGCTCCACGCCTTTCTCTGGCACCAGATTGGCCTGCTTTCTTCACTCCCAGGGCTTCTGTGCCCTTGGTCCTGACTGGACTCCTCAGGAGGAGCAATGGCTCCCTGCTCCCCAAAAGCAAAGGCCCCCACTGCCAGCCCGGCCCTCATGGGCAGGCAGACCCATGTCAACAAATGTCGCCTTTCCCCTCCGAGCTGCTCTCCTCCCAGCCTGATGGTGTTCTAGTTATTTCTGTAGCAGAAGTTGTACCTAAGTGAATTCTTGCATTAGTAACATTATGAGTTAATCTTTACAAACAGGGATTCCGTGGCGTTAAGGGGGAAAAAGGGGAGCCGGGCCAGCCTGGCTTGGACGGGCTGGATGCCCCTTGCCAATTGGTACAGTATTTCTCTCTCCTACCACCCTGCATGCTCTTCCTTGGTTGACTCCGTATGCATCTGTCAGTGTAAAGCAGCTCCCCTGAGCGAGCTTTACATGCTAAACATACGACATGCATGTGCATGAGTGGGCTCCCCCGGAGGCCAGAGAGCAAGCACGGGTTACCCATGAACACAGACCCGTCCCCGACATCATCCTCTGACTGACATGACTAATGGATCTGTGCTCTTTGGAACATTAATAGGTTTAACCACTTAAGCACACTGAAGTTCTACAAAAATATCTGATGCAAAGGCACCGTCAGGCTGTGACTTTTGGGTTAACTCCCAAGTTTACTTTTTTCCTTTTTCTCTAAGAAGAATAAAGGGGTTTTTGTTTTTGTTTTTTGGTATTTGACTTTGTTTTGGGGGGTCTTTTGCGCTAAACTTATATCTGGCCATCAATAAGGCCAAACCTACAGAATTAAACTTCTGTCGTCTGTAGTTGAGCAGTTCAAGGGAATGCAATGAAGAGACCATTGGGAAGAAAGCCAGATTTTGAAGACCTAAGATAATCGTCTGCAGCCCAAATCCTCTTCTTTGTCACATAACCTTTTCGATTTAATGGTCTCTCCTTCCAAAACTCACTTTCCCAAAGTACACACCCCTCCTTTATCGGCATGAACTCGAAATCCTCCTTATACTAAAATCTAAAATTCTACCAGCTGATCCTTCTCCTTGTACCAATCTGGCATTACCAATTTTTCCCAAATATTTTATAAAGCTATTTCAAAGGCCTTTACATTAAAAAAAAAAAAAGTATATTCTTAGTTTCTAAAGTATAAAGAAATTTGGTATGGTTATGTCATATTTGATCTGCATGTTCTTATATGGTTCTTCAATTACAAGCATGATTCTTTAGTGGTAAATTTATATTTCTCAAGTCTGTTAAGAGATTGTATTTACGGAAAAAGTTATTCAAGAAGTAACTTTTTAAAATTTCAATAGGAAGTGTCAGTCTTATTTTGTTTGCTTGGTATCATTTTATAACCACCTTATGTGGGGGGGGGATACAAGCATGCATTCATAACATATCAGCTTTTCCTGTCTCATTTGTATCTGAAGAATGCTTATATTTTAAATTAAAATTTTGCATCGTTTAGGAACTCTTTATTCAAAATGTTAGCTGGCTTCTGAAGACCTTAAGTTAAAATATTGATGACTACTATGGCTAACATTATACTATAAATATAGGCTGCCTATAAACGTAGGCTGCTTATCTTTCAACTGAGATGTTGGCAATACCTACTTTCAGTATTGGAAAATAAAAAATATTGATTATGAAAGCTATACACTTCAGATAGAAATGGTTTATCATTCAATATCATTGCCATGAACTCCGAGTCTTTAGTGGCATGAAGTAAAGTTATTTTGGTTTATTTAGTAAAGATAATTGTGAAGTAAGTTTTAATGAAATTAAGAGGAATAGTACAGATTTCTTTTGGAAAGGAGTAACTATGAACTGACCAATAGATGACTATGCTTTATAAATTGCTTTTGTAAAATTAAGTATAGATTTTTCTGTGCTATAGATATTTTTGAAAGTGTGTACTCACTTTGGAAAACATTTGAGTTATCTTCATTACCTAAAACTGGGAAATATACTGGGAGTTATTAATTAGGTAAAAGCTGGCTGTGGCCAAAGCCACCCTTCAGGTAAATGCATCGTTTTAGCCTTTGAGCATAGGAACTGTGAGGTGGCATCACTCCTGACGAGTCTGAGGAATTCTTACTTTTCTCTGAAACAGGGCCCAGACGGATTGCCCATGCCTGGCTGTTGGCAGAAGGTAGGTTTGTGGACTGATTTCTGAAAAGAATTCCTCTCCCTCCCTCTTGACCTGGCCTTTTCCATTCATACCAGACCTTGCTCACTTGACTTTCTTGAAAGATTTTGAGTACCAAAAAGCAAAAGACTCCAGCTCTGGGATATCTTTTGATGAGGATATTTACTGTTGCTTTCTGATGTGTAAAAAACAGCTCCTGGTGAGCATTGTACTTTGCTACCTGCTCTATCAGGTCCTACGTTTGGAATGGAAAGGGGCAGTGCGTCTTGATAATGGTCTGCTTGTCTTCCTACTGCTTAAAATGATTAATCGTGATTCTTCTGTTTCTACTCAGTTGTGAAGACAAATGTGCTAATACATGGTAGAACCCTGTCAATAGAGTCACAAAGCTGAGACAGCAGAAAATACTTTTTCAGTGATGTTTTGATGTACTTGAGAAATGCCAGTGCAATTGGCACCTTTAGGACATTGGTCTATTCTAAGGTCTTCATTTGGCTACTCAAAGACACTGTATGCATTCAGGACGGATGAGACCATGTCCTGTCTGGAAAACCTTCTCGTGCAAAGGCTGTATGAGAAGATTTCGTATGGGGGCTGTCATGTCCTGCCATCCACGCAGAACCACAGATGAGGAAACAGCAGTACAAGGGGGCAGAGGAACTCCTAAAGGCCAGGGCTGGTATGCGCTGGTGCTCAGGGAGGCGGACAATGGGGGACAGTAGAGGGAGTGGCAGAACCCGAGGCAGAGAAGAGACTTGCACATGTCGTGTGTTCCCGAGACACCAGGTCTTCTCTCAGGGATAGTGTGGACCTGATCACAGTGGTGGGCACATAGTCCCAAAGGACAGCGGGCTCACGGATAGGCACCTGAGCTAGGGGACCCAGATGAGCACTCTAGGCATCAGAAATGATTTTTCTCCAGCATCTTGTAGCTCAGCTCAAGCTGCATGCATGCTCACTGCAAAGCTGTGTTAGACCAGAGTTACAGAAACAAGAGACTCTTGGTTGCCTTGGACGTCAACGCCTCCCTCTGTGAGGAAATCCTGTACAATTCTCCTTAGACAGTTTCCCTGCTTGGCCCAGGAAACCAAAGCCTGCTCTCTACACCGCATCATTTATTTAGTGGCTTCCCGCACTCCATTTCAGCCTGCCAGATACTAGTTTGATCAGGACTGAGGTCAAGTGGGCTCCAGGATATGGGCTTCTCACATAGCCTTCTTTACCGGAGAAAACTATCCTCTCACCCGGTAAGACCCATCGCAGGACTTGTAATGTCATCCTGCGCCTGGATTGCCACCTGCTCTCTGACCCCTGTCATCTGATAGGATAATGGTTTCATCCCTGTCATTAGCACCCTGGAGAGAGACTCAAGGCTCAGAGCCCGGCTTGCTGTTGGTTTTGGCCTCCTCCAAATGACTCCTCTTTGTAACAGTATAATAGTGATGCCCTCAGGTGAGATGGCAAACCTCATAGTAATAGTGTTAGGAAATCAGATACTTCCCTTTTATAGACCCAGTTTCCCATAAAATATATATCATATTCTCCATAAGACTTAAAGATCTCATGAATCTATCAACTTCCTGAACAAAGAAAAATAGTGATAAAATTTAAAGGTTGCTTACCGCACTCCACCTACCCACAAATGCAAATCACTGTGGTCAACCTCTTTTACCTCTGCCCACCAAAAACCAAAAAGAAAAAAGAAAGAAAGAAAAGAAAAAATGTTTTTAAGTTTCTGATGTGATCAACTTCACTACCTCAACTAGACCAGATAATTTTTAAAATAATGTATTTAAAATAAGGCCAGTAAAGAGTCTTGTTTTACATGGACCACTCTTACAAATACTACTGAGTTCACTAGACTCTAAAACACTTGGCCGATATCTGACTTAAGATTCAGTGTGTGGCAGCAGTGTGTATCACTGTGATTAGCAAGGCCCCTCCCACACTGCCTTTAGTAGGAATTTCATGCAAAACTGTTTGATTTTTAAGTCACTTTTCCTGTGTGATATGATTTGTTTTATGTTCTAAATGTATCAACACAGGATTTGCTGAACTAGAATTGCAGTATAGTGTACCAGCTCACCGTACAATTCAGGCAGTGAGTAAGCAGCGGGGTATGTTACGGAAATAGTCTATTAAGCTCATCTTCCATCTCCAGCCAGACATCAAAAACTACTCAGTGGAGAAAGCACTTGTCACCTCATCTTCCAGGGTCACCCCTTCCTCTTTCAAACTGCACCAAATCTTGTATTTCTGAGTAAAGCTGCTAAGTCTGTAGCAGAATCATTCTAAAGTCAAGCAACAGACTTTCCTAAATGAAATTTTCACGTCAGGGATGGGGAATCTTTCAAACTCTGTGCTTGTATAGAACTTTGGCGTGGCATTCAAAATTGCACCAAAGTTGAACTTTGAGACAAGTGAAATTTTGGAGGATGAATGTTTCCCATGGGTGCATCCTTGGGCCCTGAGATGACAAACTGTACACGTGTGCCAAGTGACGCCGTCTGTGAGGAAAGTGCATACCCTCCTGAGCATTCCCAGCACAGCCTGTTTTTCATGGAGAGAGAGAGAAAAATATTAATTAACTGAAATCTGCCTCTGGATTGGTCACCTGTGGAGGGTGGATAGAGACACCTCTACCATTCTGTTCCCCTTCTCTGCATTTCATTTTTTTGTTGTTGTTGATTTGTCCCTTGCTCAGCCTCAAGTCCCCAAGGTCTGCTTTGTAAGTTTATTCCTCAAACAAGGCTCTTCTTCAGCTCTAGGGCCTTCATAGTAAAGCTGCTCAAAATTAAAAGCCAGGGACTTATAGGTCCTGGGTCATAGTGGAACCTGTCACGTAGCTTGAGCCCTGACACCAGGAGGATCTGCCTCGTCCATTGAGGTGGCAGGCAGGACTAGACAAGGAAAACAGAACCGAGACCTGGAGACACACAGACCCTTGTACACAGGTGCTGGGGACCTACGCCCTCTGACTGAGGTCAAACCCTGAGCCTTCTCCACAGTAGGGTTATGGTGCTTGAAGGCTGTGGAAGCTACACATATACAGTGTAATTCAGTACATTTGACAAAATCCTAATTTTCTGCTTTCCTGTGAAAGATACTGAAGCAAACACTTAGCACAAAATTCTTAGTGGCAAGTAGAGAATACGATACAAATTGTCAGGACATCCAGGAATTCAGAACAGACAGACACAGAGCTGGGGGAGGTGGCATCTGGGAGGCTCAGATCTGGTGCACACATCAGTGCTCGGTCAGCTCATTGTCAAAAGCCTCTATTGGAGGTTCTACCAACTTGCTTAAAATTCATGTTAATTTGGAATTGTCATTGAAGTCTACACACTAATTCCGTGTATCTGTCTTTTGTGTTGTCTGTTTCTCCGCAGTGATGAATCTAACTTTCCAAGCATGAAGCTGTGTATATAATGGTCCACTTTCTATATTTATAGTCGAAAGCCGAATTGCAGATTTTACGAGTCTGAGCTATGTTTACACAGAGCTGCTCCTTCCCGTGTGCAGTAGAACACACCCCTCATTTCCCCACTCACATCCAAAACTGGACAATCGATGAGAAGCCTGCAAAAAAAATCCAAATCAGTATCCCGGATGCGAGGATATGTATTTATATGGACTTCAGTGATAGAGAATGAGTATCCGGGCTATTTTCTTACTTTGAGCTTGGTAACTGCACCAACAGAAAGCTCCGTGAAATCGTTTACATGAAATTGTGACCAAATATGGACTAAAGGCTGTGAACGTGTCCTGTACCAACTGATATGTCTTGTCACTTTCCCCACTCACCTTCCCTACTAGCTCACGGTCACACCACCCACTGAAACTGACTAAAACCAAAAAGCATGATCGCGTGTCCGCCCTGCTTGCCGTGCAAACCCAGACATTAGCATGCTGCTTGATGAGTCGTCCGGTTACATCTGAGCTCTTATTCCTTTTGTCATCTCAAGGGGGTTACGCCATGGCTCATTGCCAAAAAGAGATAAGTCAGTGGAGAGCACACACCGTTGGTCTTGTATTTTGAGGGAGCTGCAGGGCCAACTGCAGATCTGCAGCTTCTAGTGTCCTGGGCTCTTATGGCCGCCTTGGCTGAGATGCCAAGGGGCTGAGCCGATGGCTGCCACCAGTTTTCTTTGGGCTGCCCTTGGCAGTGAAGACGTGAGGAGAAGAAGGGCTCGGCATCCTGCACTGTCTCATGTGACCAAGTAGGAAAGTGGTTTACAAACGCAAACGCCCAGAACAGCACACTTTCTTGTTTAAGAAACTGGATTCCAGTAAGTGTTCGTGTGGGTGCTTTTGGAAAGTGACACGTGGCAGCTCTTCTGGGACAGGAGATCATTGGAGTGGCCATGCTGTTCCCGAGGACAGAGGGTATGCATGTGCCATCAAAGCTCAGGTTGCTGAAGAAAAAGGTCCCAAAGAGGAGTTTGCCACATACCATCTGCTGAAGCTGTGGGGAGCTCCATGGAACCGTCTCTGCCAAAGCCAGCACGAGGGCTTGTCCTCCTCCTGAGACCCACCCCATCGCCAGTGTTTTCTAGGAGTTCTCCTGAGAAACAAAGATACAGTATTTTCTGTTCTTTTTGATACTTTTTCTTTTACTCCAAGGAATATTTAGAAAATATTTGTTCCATTTTTATTGTATCTTCTTTGAACGATTTTTTAAAGGTCTTCAGAATCATACTAATTCAGTGCCAACAGTCAAATGACTTTTTACTAACATCTTTCTTGTTTTTAGATAATTGAAGAGATCAAAAAGCTCCATTTTCAGCTTAATCATTGTAAAGCATGAAAGATAAGTTTTAAAGTATTTTTTGACTTTTTTACATGATGAATGTAATATACATAGAGATTATCAGTTAATATAAAGTCAGGATGTTATCATCTTTGATAGCATTAACTCATTTCTATTTCTTATGATTGTTTTTCTATATTTAGATTTTTTTCACATTTCTAAGTGTTTCTCTTATCCACAGACCAAATCTGAGATCTCAGAAAGCTGTGAAATATAGTTGCCATAAAGAATATTTTTTCATCTACTTGCTCAAGAATTGCCTAACCATGTTAGATTAGAATCTATTTACACAGGAGAGAGTTGGTGGCATGATTAAAAGTGGCCTACTAAGTAGAACGTTTACATGAGGAGAAACATGCCCGTGAGAAAGGCTACTGCCTGGGCCCACTGGAGAATTTTATGGCCCTCAGTGATTCTGTACCATTTTGTGAGAATAACTACTTTTTACCCCCAGGAGGGAAATCAGCTCACCACTGGCATATGGTAACAACAGTTAAGATATAATTCCAAGACAAAGATCCTTATGTTCTCTTTCATATTTTGTAACTCAATGCTCAATCATACAGAAAAAAAGTTTTTATATTAAGTTTTCAAGGTTAGAGAGATGTTTAAACTATTAGATCTGCCTAATCGGTAGTAATTCTAATAACATTCCACAGCCCTAAGCCAAGTTAGCATTTTTGAAACAATAGAGGGCATTTTCTAAACTTTTTTGTATGACATGGTTAGGATAATGTCTGAAACAATTTGTCTTAAATGGTTTGGAAAGATTGGAATACAGCTATACACCTTGAGAAAAGTCCGGTGACTATATTTCATCTCCTTCCCTGTTCCTTAATGGACAGAGGTATTGCAATGGATCACTATTTAAAATTTGCAAAGCCTCCACTGAATACCTTACATCAAAAGAGAAGCATTTCACATATTAAAAAAAAAAAGGTTTGAACATAGCCCTTCAAAGAATACTGTCCTGTGTGTACTGAAATTTTGCTCTGTAGCCAGCTTTAAACATCACTTTATTCCATGGTTAAAGGAAGCCCTAAATTCCCACTACATTTATTTCCTTGGGAAAAGCAAAGGAATAATGAGGTTTTCTTTGTTCAGTGGAATTGCTGGGTCTTAGCCAGCCTGGATCATCTTAAACCTTGAGTTGTTAAAATATTTTGTCATCAACATGGAGAAGCCTCAAGTAAGGTGCAAATCCATTAATGATGAGTTATGATTTATAAATATGTTGGTAGATAACATTTTTCTTAAAGATTTAATTTATATTATAGAATAGATAACTGAGAAAATATATAAAAGATACAGTGAAAAACCACGGTCAGATTTTACTTCTGATAAAACACCCTTAAAGGGTGCAAAATTTTATGTTTTAGCTTTAAAATTTGTTTTCCATTCCTATTGGTTGGTGCTATTTCTTTCTTTTTTTTTTTTTTTTCCTTGTGGACAATGCACCTCTACTATGGATAATTTTATTTCTCTCATTGCATTCCTAAACTGTTTGTGTGTGATTTTAAAGTTCCTGAATTTGCTATAGTTGTGGTTCAATGACCAGTCTTTCTCAGCGTAGAAGTGTGCCTAGGACGGTGTGTTTTGACTTGGATGGCGGGTCCCTTACTTCCTGCTCATTTTATACATCGCATGCCTTCATCGGCTTTTATTCATCATGTCTCTTAGCTAACATGACTTTATTAAAATTGACACAAACCATGTTCCACCAGTCTGCACACTCTGGAGTCCCTGATGTGTGACGCCCCTCAGCTCCTCTGCCAGTTCTCAGTGTCAATGGCAGTCCTGGAGGGATCTTCTCTTCTTGTGATTTGGTGGAGAACATGGGAGTGTCTGTCATTTCTATGAAAGAAAGCTCTTGTTTCTCAGCTTACAGTGTGTGCATACAGTGTTCTACTGGGACAGCAAGAACGTATACAAGGGGTTTACATTGCATGTCCTTTGCCTACAACTGTGTGTATCTGTATATATCTGCTACTTTGGAAAATGGTCACATCCAAATGTGTGTGCCTCTGGGGAAATTCTCCTTGGTATCTTGTATTTTTTCACTTAGGAAAAGTGCTTAATTTCCAAGTTTTTATAATTTTACTATTAAAGCATAAAGTTATTTTTTAATCCTTTTTCCCCCTTGCTATATACAGTATCATCTTACTAAGAATTCTTTATTTCTCTGGGGATGTTTTAACATCTTCTAATAAGTGCACATATGCAACATAGAGAGGCTGATGCTTGAAACATTATCAAGGAATAAAAAATGATTTTAATGTAACATTACCAAAAAAATGAGCTTTCTAATCTCTGCAAACAAAAACCTGTATCTCTAGGAAGTCAAGGTGAAAGGAATCTCATCTTTCCAAAAATAGTGAGATCCCTTTGGATTCTGGCTGTTAAAAATCTCGGGGCTGGGGATTTAGCTCAGTGGCATAAGTACCTTCCTTGCAAGTGTGCAGTCGTGAGTTCGATCCCTAGTACCAATAAAAATAAAAAAGACAAAAAAACCCTCACAGCCCTACTGGAATTTCCATGTTCAACCAATTATAATTCTGCCAAATTGTTTTAGAATATAAAAACTTTCAGCCTCTGCTTCCATTTTTCTTCACACATTAGCTAGATTCATTATATGCCAGAAGAAATACTGCTCCCATTCAAATTTGTAGTGATTTTGCTTTTCCAGTCTTAGTATAATATTTTTTTTTCATTAAAGATACATTAATAAGCAGCATAGGCAATTCATGCATTTAACAGAATACTCTTTTGGAAACAAGAAGCTTTTTTTCAATCTTACTTGTTATGTTTGGTTCATTGATAGTAAAAGAAGTTCCAACATTTCCCAAAATCCATTTGGTAGCCTCACATTGCTCAGAAATATGAATGAATTGGATTCACAAAAGAATGTCTTACATACTGTTGACATTTATGTGAATAGCCTTTATATTGTTGTAAATGTTTCATTCAACTTAACATTTTTTAAAGATGTATGTATCTGATTTCTCTTTAGGAAATATATTTTTGTGTTTTCTACATTATAAAGTTCATCTTTATGTGCAGCTATTTTTATATTGCAAAAAATTCACATAAATACAAAGTAAGAGGAAAATGGGGGGAAAATTGGCATTAGAGTAGTTGTCTTTAAAATGTTTGTGGGCCAGTCTCGTGGAACTGATGCTTCTGAGAATGTGTTGTGTCTTACAAATGTAAATGTGGCACAACCCTGATTATCTCAGTAGTGTACATATTTGAAAGACTGAATTCTCCATTTGATTTCTTATTTAAGTTTCATTTTTCTTGCTCCCGCTGACATTACGGAATCAAAAGACTCATGAGGTTTTTTTGATTTGCAGTTTGGAAATAATTGCATGGTGTTCAATTTGTAATTTGTTTTTACCTTTTAAACTTGTTTTCAGGGTTCCTAGTTTGTGAGAAGTTGATCTTCAGAATTATTTTTACACTATTTATGACTTATTTTCATAATGTAAAAAGTGTGTAATTATTACAGTATTAATCCAAACAATGACAATGAATTGTATTGTTATAAAGCTTTATTGATGTTCATGAAAACCTTGACCTGTCTGATTTATTTGGTTTGATTTTTCTGCCAGGCGTGGTGGTGCATGCCTTCAAATCCCTGCACTCTGACAGGTTGAGACAGAAGGATCCCACATTTAAACCCTGACTAGCCATTTAGTAACTCAGCAAGATTCTGTCTCAAAATAAAATACAAGAAAGGGCTGGGGATATAGCTCAGTAACCAGGCCTTGGGTTCAATCCCAGTACCATCAAAGGGGAAAAAAATTTTATGCTACTTTTCTATAGTATTGGAACCTCAGCACTGAGCTGATTTTTAAAATCCTGGTGATTTTTTAAAATTCATCCTTTCGGGGATTTTAAGGAATAGTGTTTCCAAAGTGAGCTTCCTGTCCAAACTTGCTTTCTTGCAGAATTCCTTATCTTGATAAATAACTTCCATTTGGTTGCTCCCAGCTTCCCCGTCGAGGCGCTCGTGCTGTGAGGGTAGATGCAGGATGAAATACTCGCAGGATGACTCCTGCGTGGGGCCATGCTTGATCGACTCCTGCAAAGCATCCATCCGTGGTCTGTGAGTCCCGCAGCAAAGCACCTTTCAGTGCTCAGCTCCCTAACCCCGCATCAGCGCTGGTGCAGACGGCCGAGCCACGTTTCCAGTGCGCTTAGCCAGGCTGTGCATGGGCTCACGCTGCCGTCTCCTTTCTCAGCATCCTTTGCTGGCTCTCCTGGCTTCATCCAGGCACTCAGTGATGACTCCCAGCGCTCTGACCTTCATTTTACCTGGAGCTTTTATTTCCTGCTACATCTCATTCACTGCCAATCTCTCCCCCCATCCCCTTCGCCCTCCATCAGAGCTCATTGACTCCCATTAGGAACGCGCAGGCTCTCCGGCTGTCAAGCTTGCTGTGTCTGCCTGGCAGTTGGCAGCCTTGTCCAGCCGGATTCCCACAAGCGGGCATCATCTGCACCCTGAACCCGATTCTCTTCCACACCTCCAAATCCTGGTGAACGGTGCCACCTGCCTCCGATGCCATTCGGGACAACAAGATGGAAAACAAACTCAGTGTGGTGCCCCCCACCCCACCATCCACTCATTCCCCTCACACAGCAGCAAATCCAGGGCCCCCCCATCTGATCCCCTATAGTTCTGACCTTTTTCAAGTCTAAGAATTTTTGAAAAGTAGGGCAGAATAGCACCCAGCCAGTGGCCAGAGAGGGTGAAAAATGTAAAAGAATTAGAAGGATTGGAAGGACTCCCGAGGGGATCAGAAGGCAGGCACAGAGGTGGCCCGTGGCTGGTGTGGAAGCCTGCGTGGCCGAGGACTGCGACTTGCTTATGGTGTGAATCTGACCCCTGCACAGGGCACGTGGGGTCACCACCCACTGAAACAGCAAACCTCGACCTTCCGAGTCACCTTTCTTTGCGTCTGTGTTAGGAGGCTGGCACTGGTGGGGCGGCTCTCGGCCTTCGCATTCATTGGATTCATGTGCAGAGCTTGCACACGCACAGGTTTCTGGTCCGTAACTGGAATTTCTGACCATAATTCAGAGAGGGATGTGGGACTTGATATTTCTAACAAGCTCCTAAGTGGTGGTAATGGCCTTGGCCCAAGGTCTGTACTTTGGAAAACACTGTTATTCTATTTTCTTTTCTCTTTTTAATTGGACTTTTATTGACACATAATTGCACGTATTTATGGGGTACACTGGTATTTTGATACATGTAAGTAGTGTATACTGATCAAATTTGGGTAACATATCCATCACCTCTAACATTCCACATTTCTTTGTCATAAAATCATTTGCAATCTCTTCTTGTAGATATTTTGAAATACATTGCAAATTACTTGAATTATATAATAAATAGAATGCAAATCAAAACTACATTGGGATATCATACCATCCCAGGTAGTGAGGCCATTATCAAAAAAAAAACCCAAATGCTGATGAGGATCTGAAAAAAAATTTTTAGGCACTGGGGTAGAAACTCAAGTTAATTAGCTATTATGCCAATGTTATAAAGGCATCTCAAAACACTAAAAGGTGCTCTACCATGTGATCCAGCTATGTATCCAAAGAGGAAATGAAATCAATAAACCAAAGAGATATTTGCAACGCCATGCACCATAGCTATATTTGGGGACCAACCATGTTCTTTACCCACAAGGTATACAGATCTGGGTAGTGAGCACAGGTTTGTTAACTGAATTCATGAGGTAGTGCAGGCAGGCATTTGTCACCGTCTGCAGACCAGGCAACAGGCTGGTCGGGGGCTGGCAAACTCACTTGCCCACAGACCACAGGGGGAGCTACAGATGACCAAGGGTCCATGAGGGATCCATGCATCAGGGGCCACAGCCCTTAGCTGGGAATATGATCACGCTGTGTCACCTGCTGTGGCTGGATGGACATCTGGATGTCTCACAACAACAAGACAGGCGAAATAATGCCTTAATGCAAGGGTGGTAGGTGCCCTTGCATTTGCAACCTCTTACAGGAATTTCCCTTCCTTATCGAGTCTAACACTGTGAGCTCACTCTTGCTACTCCCTTGAGTGGAAGTGGCTCGTTCTCCCGGGTGTGGGAGGGACAGCCGGCTACCCGCACTGCGCCGTAGGCCAGCTCTGAGCGCTCAGTGCCCCATCCCCACACACAAACCCTGTTTCTCTGAGAGGCGCATGATTTGGTCAGCAGCACCTGCCCCCTCCTCTTGGCAGGCAAGCGTTCTCCTGGGCACATGGTTTACAGCGCCCGTATTCATGACGAACGGTGCCGTCTTGCAGGTGACTTCAGTGTCAACATAAGCAGCACAGCCAATGCTCAGCCCATCATCTGCTCACACCTTGTTTCTGCCGACTGCGTTCCCCCACCTCACTGCAAGCTGGTTTTGTTAGAAATCCCCTGTCCATCTCCCCTGGAACGAGGCACCCAAAGTGCTGCACTCTGATTTCTCCTGCCCCTCCTGTAGGACTTCTCACCCAATAACTCCCTCGCTGGCAGTCTTGCTCCTGACGGTGCCCACGCAACTGAACTTGCGTAGCCGAAGGCTACTGTCCTCCCATTTGGTCACTTAATTAAAGCTAACCCCTCACTCCCTGTCTGGCTTTCTGCATCTTTTTACCTGGTCTGTGTTTCATCCACTCAAAACCATGAAAAAAGAAAAGAATCCATGGTCAATACTGGTCCCCAAATCCCCAAATCTTCAAATTCTCCTATGTTTCTGACACCTACAGCCAACCAACAGTTTTCTTGTTTCGCCAATCATGGTGACAACTCAGACTTTTTCTACCTCCCTTAACCTCCACGCTTTCCTCTGTAGGGGATCTTGCATTCACAGAGGAAATCCCCTGTAGAGATTCCGTCCGTCACATCTTTCTCCAAGACTCAAAGTGCGCCCATTGCTACACCTTTGGTTTCGTCCTTGCCACAGCCCATGAGACCGAGTCCTCCCTGTCCTGCTCCCCTCGGCGTCGGCAGTCCACTCTGCAGGCTCGCTGAGCACTGCATGGCCATCAGCCTGCATTCCGTGGCCACCACTGAGCACAGGCCTTTTGCATCTCTCATTGGGTTACTGCAATACGAGTCTCACAGTGGTTGGTCCTGGCTCAGTAGCCAGAATCACAGTTCCTCGCTTCAAACTCTTTAAGCTGAAGCTCTCCGCTGCTGAGGGGAGCCCTCGATCCCTTCTGGTCTACACAGGCTTCCCTCCCGAGCCCTCACGTGCTGCTCCAGCCTCTCCTCCGTCTGTCCCTGTGTCCACACAACCTGCATTTGCGTCTTGGTGCTCCAAGCAGGTCCTCTGCTACCCCTGCTGGGTCTGCTGTCTGCCACTTTTTCACACCTTTAAAATCTAAAGCCCACTTCTTTCTTAGCTCCTGCCCACCCTTAGAGGCCCCACTTTGCCGCTGCCCGTATTAGGGAGACTCCAGACTGTGGGTCATGCAGGGCCCCGCTGGGCTTCCCTCACACACTGTGCTGTGTCACAGCACTTCAGCTGTCACCCTGTTGAGGGAGACGTCTATGGGCTCACCCTTGTGTCCTTTATGCCAAGCACATAGCTGGTCCTCAGTGGGTACTTGTTGAAGAAATACATGAATGAAAGTAATTACCCAAGAGGATATAGAACAAGCCACCCAGGAATAACACAAGCATCTGGGTGGATAAATATGCAACACCACAATGAGAGGATAATTCATGTGAAAGCCTGCACGTCTCTTCCTCTGATCCAGAATTGGCAACAAAGAGTCCCCTGACACAAGGCACACGATCACATATGCATTTTCCCTCTGTTCTCCTAAAAATGGCAGTGGCAGCTTAAAACAGTCATAGCCAGAAGTCTTACTGAGCTGTTCTCCTGAGCCAAGCTGTGTTCACCAAAGATCAAATTTCCCATACAATGGTAATGGGGAGTCCACAAATAAAATCACTCAAGGTAAGAGCGTGAACTGAACATTTAAGAAAATACAGTTTTGTGCCAGGATATAGCTCAGTGGCATAAGTGCCTGCCTGGCAAACACAAGGTCCTGAGTTCAGTTCCCAGTACCACAAAAAAGGAGGAAGAGGAGGAGGAAGACAAAAGGAGGAGGGGGAGGAGAAGGGGGAGGGAGGGGGAAGGGGAGGGGGAAGGAGAAGGAGACGGAAATACAATTTTCATAGAACACAGTTTGGAAAATGCTCCCCTACAGAATTCCTCACCCTCACCTCCAGAGGAGGGTGCGTGGGGTCAGTGTGCTGTGTCGTGTAGCTGGCGGCCCGGTCCTAGGCTCAGCTGAGGGCCACTCTGCAGTGATCAGGGCTGTGGTCACTGCTAAGTCCTTCCCCCTGGACGCTCTTCCTCCCACCGTTTCATCTCCACTGCCCTCAGTGCTCCTGTTATCTCTCTCCTAAAATGCTCGGGGACCCAATCTTAGAGTGCAGCCTGATTTCATTGTCACTAAAATACATCACAGGGGACAATGACAAGATCTAAGAGCAGGAAAGCACCACTTGGGAAATACATTCTCATGATGCGTAACAGGCTGCCAGCTAGATCCA